ATTGTCTGCGCTGAAAAAGTCTTTGGAAGGGGGGAGTTTGTCTACTAATTTGGCAGCCACATTTGTGAAATGAGAATTGAATTCATCAGCGATGGCCATCTTATCATGACATAATTCCCCATCAATTTTAATGACAGATTCTTGTTCTTTTCGCTTCTTATTTTTCAATCCTAAGCTTTTTAGATTCTGCCAAAGTTTTTTCGAATCTTGTTTATTTTCTTCTATCTTGTTTTGTAAGTAAACGAGTTTAGCCTTTTTCACCTCTCTTTGGACCATATTTCTTAATACTCTGTATCTTTTATAGAGCTTCTCATCTTTTGCTCTTTTCCTCCATTTTTTGTATACTATATTTCTCTCTTGAATTAGGGAAAGAATATCTTTAGTCACCCAAGTTTCTGATCTTTGTTTTATTCTTATCCGTTTCAGTGGCGCTATCATATTCAAATTTGAGATAAAAACATGTTGAAATATTGACCATGCCTCATTTACATCTGTACAGTCAGTTATTCGTGACCAATCAACAACAGATAGTTGAAGATTGAAAGACTCTTCTGTATATTTTTTCATGGATCTGATATCATTAGTCCTGTGATGACCTATAGCCAGTCTAACATTTTTCCGTGTACAGAAAGTAAAATAATGGTCGCTAATACCTAGATCAATGACACCACTTTGACTTATTTTATTTTCTTTGGTACAACCAACATGATCCAATAGAGAAGAACATGTAGGTGTAACGCGTGTTGCCTCTTTAATGAGTTGACTAAACCCATGAAGACTCAACAAGTCAATATATTTTTTAGCCAGTGGCCATTTGCGAAGAAGACAAATATTCATGTCTCCTAAAAGAATTATTTCGTCATCCTTCTTTAATGTATCAAGAATATTGGACAATTTCTCGATAAACAAATTGTTTTTCGGAGGTCGATACAGAACGCCAACAACAATTGGTTTTGATCTTGGTATAAGCAAATTTATCCACAGGGATTCCGTATCTCCAGTACTTATAGCATCCATAATATTAAATGCAATATCATTTTTGATATAGAAACATACACCACCTCCAGAGCCAGAGGATCGAACATGGCGTATGATTTTATATCCGTCTATTTCAATTTCTTCATCATTTATGGAATTGTTTAACCATGTTTCAGTGAAAGCAATAATAGACAGCCTTTTTCTTTTAAAAAGAATTCTAAGTTCCGATATCTTGTTTAGAATAGACCTCACATTAAGGTGTAAAAAATGAAGACCTTTAATTTTAAACTTTTCTTCAAATTCTTGAAAAAGAGAAGTGTTTTCATCTTTGAGGTTTGGCTGAATTATTCTTGCTATCGCTTGCTTTTCAGGTGTAACGCGCGTTACCTTAAAATAGTTTTCTTTTAGTCTATCCTCGTTTTGGCTTTCTTTCTCTAAACAATCGTCAGTAAATATTGATTCACAAAAAGATGGCAGACAACATGTTAAACAATTCCACTTCTCATCAGGGCATTTATAATATAACCTACGGTACTCTGAAAAACTGATAGCTTGACAATTAGTGTGAAACCATTTTTTACAATAAGAACACAGAAGGCCGTGTTGATTACATTTGACTGGCTTATCACAGTTCCCACAAGGGAACTTATATTTTCGACCGTCAACTATAATTTTCGGATCATCACTAGATTTTGTCAAACTTTCACTTAATTCAATACCCTTCTTACAAATTGAAGATAATTCGCCCAGTCTTTCATGTCCACCTTGGATGGTCTCAAGGCTGGTTTCAGTCGTGACCTCTGTTTGACTGCACTGAAATCCAAAGATCTCCCAGAAACAGCTTCGGCGTAGGACTTTACGGGGCTGCTTTTTTCCTCATCAGAATGAAGACTCTGGTTTTCTCGGTAGATGGCTTGATGCCGCCTTGCTCCAGGTTCACTGCCTGTAACTTGATCGGACGACCGTTGAGTCCAGCCATGGCCTCGTGTTGTCGATTGGTCAGCACTGTTGATGAGGTGTTTCAGGTTGCCTGCCAAGATTCGTTGACCGGCTCTGTTGAGGTGAACGCCATCACGCCCGAGATGCTGCTCGCTGATATCATTGTTGATGATGAGGCCCCATCTGTTCTCGCTGGCTGCCACTCTCCCCTCTACGATGGATGATCGTAGAGACTGAGACGTTAAACCCCTCGGCAGCAACAGACTTGCCGAGGTCTGTGATTTGGTGGCAAACTTCACCAGCACCCTCAGAGATGTTGTTGGTGCCAGCGTGGATGATCAGTTCTCCCCCTGGCTTGAGAAACTCGCAAGGTGAAGAGGTGAAGATGTCTCTCACTTTTGCACCGGGAAAAGAGACGCACTTCACGTTCTTGCTGCGGGAGAGATGTCTTCCGTCAATGTGTTTAATCATGGAATCACCGACCACAAGTACATCTCGTTTGTTGCGGATCACACTATGTCGGTGGCGGTATCCCTCTATCTGCTCATGGTATGGTGGTGAAGTAGAAGTAATACTAGTAGGTGTTGACAAAGATCGGCCTGAGCTGTCATCAGTTGCGTCGCTGTCAACAGTTGCGTCGCTGTCATCAGTTGCGTCATCAGAGAGAACTTCAGGATGGGTGATGTTGGTTTTGGAGAACAACTTCAGGTGCTTGGCCTTGTATTCATGAAGTTGATCTTTCATTGGCATTGATACACTCTTGGCACTGTTGTCTGATTTCGTGTTATCGGATAATATTTCAAACCGGTTATGCGTAGCAATTGTCGGGAAATATTTGGTGGTAGGCCTAGATACTTGTTGTTGTGCCTTCATATTCCCTTGCTCCTTCTCCTTCTCCTTCTCTGTCTCCTTCTCCTTCTCCCTTGCACTACATCCTGACTTATGGATCCTGCTGAGTATCGTCGTAGAAGTAGAAGTAGAAGTATGCTGTTCGAATAGATTGTTGAACTTCTTCTCTATAGTATCGAGCCTACTATTCAAGCCTTTCATTTCACTCAGTACATTATGCAGTAGTTGTCGGCAGTCTGCGTCATCATTGAAGACTACTACTACTACTACTCCTACTACTACTACATCTGCCAAAATTACAACAGGTATATACATGCTTATGTAGCAGATTTAGGGAAATTCCCTTAATCATTAAGACATACTCACGGAAATGTAAAGGGGTCAGGAAAGAAGGATATGAAGAAAACAAAAGTCACGCTATCCTTTAAAACTCGCTACTAGGAATGGGATCGATGGATATGACACTTTTATTTTCATAAATGTTAATGAAAACAATAAACATGATATCGGATGTACCATCTTCAATCATTACAAGGAAGTAACTCGCTGAGTTCATGACGTGGATCGGGGATCGGGTCCGGGCGGATCCAGGACTTTGAGTGGCGGAGGGGGAAAACAAAATTTAAAAAATCTCTGACAAGCGAAATAATGTTATAACTGCTACGATTACTACTAATGCCACTCCTACTACTACTACTACTACTACTACAAATACTACTACTACTGCTACTACTACTACTACTACTACTACTATTACTACTACTACTGCTTCTAATACTACTATACTACTACTACTACTACTACCATTACTACTACTACTACTACTACTACTACTACTACTACTACTACTACTACTACTCCTACTACTACTACTACTACTACTACTCCTACTACTTCTTCTACTTCTACTACTACTACTACTACTACTACTATTCTAAAACTACTACTAATGATAATAATGACAATCATAATAATAACAACAATAGTTATGATAATGATAAGATGAAATATATTACAACTAAATAAATTATCAATTTTTATCAAAAATAATTTTCACTGGTTTACCTGTATTTTGGGGGTTTTAGATTTGAAGGAGCACCAAAATATAATCACGTGACACGGCTGTATGTTATGTACATGCACTCAAACCTGCTTTAGTGACCACCTGTGCACTTTTCATGTCTCCTTGAGCGGTCTTCATATACAGGTTTCAATGTACTTAAGTTATGCAAAACTGTCTTCCAAAAGGCGGGACTGGTTGGTTGTACCCCTGCCCTTAAATCTGCCATATGGCTCGTCTAATATTTCCTCTAGGCTAACCAATTAAGATGTAAATAATACACAGCAGTGAGAGCATTAGTAAGAATTACCCATAGATACAAGGTACCTTTGGAACAGTCGACACGGCCGAGGCGATATACTTAACCGCGAGGGTGTTTGGACTGTTTCAAAGGTACCGAGTGTGGGTAATTTTGCTAATGCCCGAACAAAATGATGTGTATTATTTTGTTTATAAGATGATGTTTTATTAGTTTTATTGAATGATATTTTTATGAAATGATTTAACTAACGACCGGTCATTAGCATTTGTTAATAACCAGTCATTGGTAAAACTACGTGTTAGGCAAAAATAAATGCCTGGTCACGTGTACGCTCTCAACCAAATCATTTGATTAGGATCCGCTTCATCATCTTATAACACGTATTAACATAATTAACCTGACTTTGAATTAGATCCCTTTTCTGCAGGTAAACCAATAGATGTGTCATTGCAGTTAGTAAAAGTAATTTAACCTCCATTTCACTCATCCAAAAAGTGCATTGCTAATAATTTATTAAAGGAACAATCAATTTGAAAGTGAAACCCAGTATCAAAGGCATGTCGTGTGGTACTGGAGCTGTATTTCCCCTTTTACTTGTTTGTAATTAATGCGAGGAAATTGTCCTCACAAAAGACCAATCGTACGTGAGCTTATGAAACTTGATCATCGTTTCTTTTCCCGTCATATTATTCATCGTTAACTTTGTCATACTTGGCTCATTGTATTCTTATCATTAGGCCTATCGTGCGGCCAACGCGGATTGCTCCACTTTGTTATTTTTAACCGGTGCTTGATCTGAAGGTTACTCGTCTACAATATCATCATTTCAAAATTCAACGAATGAAATTTAGTTCAAATAGCAATTGGTCGTTCAAGTATTCGTAGAGCGAATGGTTGCAAACTAACGCCAATATGTCTACGTCAATATTCGCAACAACCTTCGCAGACACGACGATCGGTATGGTTTCCGCGTCGAATGAGAGCGCCGATAAGGTCCTCCACGCGTCAAACTCCACCGCGGTCATCGTGGAATCCACCACGCTCGCCGCCATCATGGCATTCACCATCTTAGCCAATCTGGTTGCCATGGTTACCATCTTCCGTGTGCCGATGCTGAGGAAGAATCCGCATAACATCTTGATCATCAATCTGACGGTGGACGATCTCGGGGTCGCTCTGACGATCATGGTCTTCTCCATGATCTCCGTATTCGATGATGGCCGACTCTTGAGGACACATCCTATCTTGTGCAATGTAAGTAATGATAATGATGACGATAATGATGATGATGATGATAATGATGATGATGGTGATGATGGCTATTGTGATTATGATCATAATCATGACTGCATTAATGATGATGAAGATGATGACGGTAATGATAATGATGTTGATAATGATGTTGATGATGATATTGATATCGATGATGAATATGTTAATAAAGAGGAGAAGGAAGAGGAGTTTGAAGGTATAAAACTAAAAGCCGACCACCATTAGGGCGTCCGACCAACTTTGATTAATACAGACCCTGAAAACTAAAGCAATAACATTATCTAAGAGGGCCGAGGAATGACCACTTTTGCAAAATGCCGGGTAGATTTATAGAGATTAAATGCAGGATGATTTGAAATATCATTAACCTATTACAAAATAGGGCACTCGTGTCCTTCTGAATTTTTGATTTTTTTTTTGGAGTGCATGAATTCATATTCGGTCTTATCAAGGTAATGATAAGGCCAAACATTAAATATTGTTAAAAATGGTTTGTCACAGGTCAAAGTTACCCTCATTTTTGGAAAAAGTTTCATCCAGTATGCTATTAAAGTAAATGAAGAATTAACGGATATCAGGGGAGTGTTTCACAAAGACTAAGATCACTTTAAGTTGGACTTAAATATGGCAGGTCGTTCATGCCACTGTTTGCTCTCACCATTATGATCTTTAGATAATATTTTTTCCTTCAATAATAAATTATCAACAAATATAAATTATGTAGATTAAATTTTGTAACCCTGATTACGTACGTCTCTTGAGAGACAAATACCAGTAAATGGTGAGAGTTAACAGTGGCTCGAACGGCCTGCCATAACAACCCCCAGGTGGAATAATAACAGCCATTAAGACAGAATTACTTGAACATTACCTGATCTGCAATGTTAATACTTTAGTTATGTTTATAACATGATATCAATTATTACTTCATTAAGCTTGATTTGTTGCACCAAGCTATTGTCAATAGTCCATGATTGTAATATTAGCTGCAGTGTCTGATTGAAACTAATATTCTGTTTCCGCATGCTAATGTTTTCTTTAGTTTAGAATGACACACGTGATGATAACATGATGATGTGCATTGTTTAGTCTAAACTACACTTCTCTTCAGAATCTAAAGGAGTCTTCATTAAAACAAAACGTAGGGATGATGAGTAGATAGTCCTTACTTATGGAGAAAAAAAATATTCTGTTAATCCATTTTTCGTTAACACTATTTTTCCCTCTGATATTAATTTTGTTTATAAAGCCAGTAACTTAAAAGCATTAACGCATATAATTACATCCCTTGAAACTCTCATTTTTTTTTTTTTTTTTTTTTTTTACAACAACAACAAAACGATTTGACATGGATTTCTTTTTCTTTGACTTTTCTCCAGTTCAACGGATTCTGCACTGTATTATTCTCCGCCTCCAGTTTCGCTACGATCACTTGCATAGCGATCGATCGCTACCTGTCTGTCGTCTGGTCGACACGCTTCCCGCCAAGTCACAGCCGCGCATGCATAATGGTAGTGGGCATTTGGGTTTTCTCTGCATCATACGCAACCCTGCCATTGGTCAACTTTCTTTCATCTTTCTCCTATCTGGACGCCACCCATCACTGCTCGCCCGTTTGGGATAACTGTTTCTTCTATGTTGTCGGTTTCATGACCAATTACGTCATCACCATACCCATCATGTTTGTTTGCTACCTTTTTGTCTTCCGGATCATTTGGAAGAAAGAGAAGAAATTGAGTAAATACCGAGCTGCAGCTATGAATCTCACCTATAGCCAGGTAAGTCAATAAAGTTCTACAAAGCTCCGTAACCTGGGCTTCACAGACATTTCTATACTTTCTTAAATCAGTTCTTCCCGAATAGATGATACGGGCGAGAAGATTAAATCATTCAAGGATAGAGTGGTGAGATATATCCATAACGAGATTGCGTCATTTTGTCTTACAAATTAATGAACAACCGACACTAATACAGAATTGATTGTGGCAACGCGCCTTTCTTGAAGTATTGATTCAATCCGTTGGCCGAACGAAATCGGAAACAGTTTGCATCGTGTGAAAAAAAATATCATTTATGCTAGAGATTTTCTTAGGGCATGTCTTATTCAGAGTTTTTCCAATCTTCACTATTACGCGATGCGAATTTCAACCAAAGATTATCGGACATCTAAAATCAAACCTGTGGCGAAAATAAAGTAAACTACACTGTCTTCTTTCCTGCGATAATAACTATATTGTCATGATCATTCATTATCTTGTTTATCTTCTTATTTAGCAATCGTTTGATGACACAGTAATAGACTCGGAATCTAAAACTGGGCATTCCGTTTCCTTCGCGCCCTTTTCTCCATCTTCCGCAATGTCCACCTCTTCGGAAGATGGTAAAGATAGGAATGGGATCGCGAGGATCTCCATGTCCAAATCTATGCCACACCTGGACACCTTAGGATCTGCAGAATGTTCCTCTGTTGACTTTGCAACCCCTGATAGATGCATAGGAGACTGTCAGCTCAGAGGATACCAGAACTGTGCTCGATGCAGATCGGCTCTGACTCAACAGATCCGCTGCTGTTCTACGACGAACAAGGAGAACGGACGAAGTAGCTCCGTTCAACGATCAAAAAGCACAATCACGCCTTCAAAGACCATCTCGGGGCGACGTCAGTCTCGTGTACGGAGCTCCTCCAATGACAGGACGCTTGACAGAACTGACGTGGGGGTCGGTAAACGGAGACAGTCTTCAAAGAGTCTTGACCGATCGGCATCCTTCTTTCATTGTCTAGCATCCGCCGGAAGTCGTTCGGGTTGAAGGGAAATACGACAAGAAAGGCGAACAAGGAACAGCGGAAGATGTATGCCAAACGTGTCAAGAAACTCCGAGCGGACAAACAAGTTGCCCTAACAGGTGGGTTTAAGATATTCAATACAAAGACGGTAATTTCGTCTCCGAAACAAGATATTGAAACACTGACTCACATAATGCTTTAAGATAACATCATATCCCATAACAGCATTATTAACATCCGTGGGTCAAAAGTGACATCATTATGCTTAAATAACGGACCATTATTATCATGCCAAGATGATTCTTTTCTGTCTTTTCTGTCTTGTATATTACATAAAATCAACCAAACAGGTCAAATCTAAACAGCATTTTTGAAGCTAAATAAGTCTTATCGTCATGATAGCGACGCCCGTGAAAGGGGTGGGATGGGACTAAAGCCCCACTGTACTACTTATAGCTACTTGCTCCCTCTATACAGCCAACAGTGCCTAAGCGGTACCCGTTGATCCCCCATGATCCCCTTTTTCTTATGTTAATTGAGAGCTGATTTGATGATATAACCACCTGCCAGTGACCTCGCAGGGAGGTCTAATCCCCTCCATACCAAACTAGTGGAGAATATCTCTCAAACAAGGAGTATTGCTCTTCACTATCGTAACAAAGTGTATATTCCTACGCTATTATAATATTAATAATAATAATAGCCTAATAGTCCACTCCAAATTTTATTAAACCGAAACGGAAATTATTTTTGCCTAATTGATCGTGAGCCCGGCAGCCACTGAGCAGCGCCAGATCGACGTTGCTCTATCCCTTATTGTTGAACGCCAAACAAGGTAGCAACAACTCCCATCTTTTAAACGTCTTTTGGTCTGACGAGGCCGGGGTTCGAACCCACGACCTCCCGGTTGTGAGGCGGACGCTCTACTGACTGAGCCAACACTCCGGTATTCCTGATCCTTATTTTCTATATTACAGGATCTTTCCTGATTCTATCGAGTCTCCTCTGCTGGTTACCTTACGCCATCACACGCTCCTGTTTCTTCCCTGTTCATACCAAGCACTGGATCGACATCACCGCCATGTGGATCTCCTTCGTCAACGCTTTCCTCGACCCGGTCATCTACGCCTTCATGAACCGGCGAGTCAAGGCGAAGATAAGTGACGACTTCATGGCTATTCGGCGCTATTTCCGGTTCTGCCGTAGTGGTGGTTCAAAAGAAGTTGACAAGTAAAGATCATCGAAGGCCATTTACGACATCGTCAGAAGCAACAGCATCATTTGCGTATTATGCCTCGGTGAGAGGAGGCTAAATTGAGGGAGAACTTCAGGGCGATCATCGGTTTAAGTTTTGCTGCGGTGGTGGTTAAGAGGAAGACGAAACAGAGGCCATGTATTTGATGTCACTGTGGTCGGGATCATCATGAGCAGCATCATCTACGTCGTTTTCGCCTTCGGGAATCATCCGGCCAACGCCCATTTATAGGGAGACTTTCAGCAGTACCTCCAGTTCTGCTAAAGCGTTGGTTTAGCGGAAGACGAAAGGGAAGACGAGTATTATGTTCAAGGTCATTGTCAATATCACTAGAAGTAGCAACATCTTCATCGTGTACGCCTGAACAATACAATACAATACAATAAAGTCATTTCTATAGCGCTCTTACAAACTAACTGTTGTTTCACAGCGCTTTACATAAAAGTTATCGAAGAATCTATTGTTGATCATGGTCAAAGAGGAGAGTTTTGAGATATTTTTGGAAGACATCCAGCGAAAGTGATAATCGAATAACACGTGGAAGCTCATTCCAGAGTCGAGGAGCACATGCATGGAAAGCATTGTCGCGAGCTTTGGCGAGTCAAGCCGTGGTAATTACTTCAGGGCCTTTTCAGAGAAATATCTTTCTTCTCCTGCGATCTTTAGGGGACGGGAAGAGGGAGTGCGAGTAACTGTCCTCACAGACTGATAATCATCGTCAACAAATCATATCTATTCTAATCCGTACGTACTACCATTGCATTTTGCCATCCTAACAATTATTATCCTAATCAGTACCATCGTTATTCTCATAATTATCATTATCATCGTCATCTTCGTTTTCATCTATGACTAAACTTTCACGAGCCGGGCGATTCTAGGCAAATACGACCCAGGATACACGAGATACAATGAACATGGTGAAGGTATCTCGAACTCTCTCAGCCCCGTATCTCACGGATATCTGCACTTCTATGCCCGACTCTCTCCAACTACTGTATCTCTGCTTCTTCAATCACTTCTCTTTCTCCTCGTTTCCCTTGTCTATATATTATATTATATACATACCTGCCAACCTTTGGAGACTAAAAATAGTAATCATTTTTTTACGAGGACTGTGACGGGGGAGGGGGGGGGGGGGGTGGGTGTGGGAGAGGGCTGTCCCCCTCCCACGGTAGGGAGCTTTTGGTATTTTCAACATGTAGGAATGCCCTTTTCCTTCATTTTAAACTCATCTTTCAACACTTATGCAACCCCCTCCCCAATAAAAAAAAAACCAAAACAAGGACTAAAAGCTCAAAATTCCCCTGATGAAATAGAACATGGAGGAGAAAACTAAAGGGCTGTGCATAAGCATGTAATGAGGTACTCGAGGATACTTAAAGGTGAAATTCAAAGAAGATCACAAATATGTCAACTAATGTATCACTAGAAACTGGTAAGCTAACAGATGGTCATCGGACAAGTTTTAGGTCAACTACATATCGGGTGATTTATAAAAAATAAAAATACAACCACCTCCATAGCAGCTGGGATATACGAGAGATTCGCCGGAAACATAACGATGTTTTAATGACGTCACTATATGGACCAACACTGCCCAAGCAGACGACATCCCATAGAGAATGAACATAATTTCAAAGCTATTATTTCTCAAATTATAATGAGTTTAGTGTATATAAATGTAATGGCATGTCAAACCATTCAAAAGGGGATATGACCCGATTCTGATAACTAAAATCTTTTGCTTGTAAATACACAGGATAGGGGTTAATTAACAATCAAAGAAACCAGACTTTCAAATTGAAAAGCCCCGGAATGATATTAAGGAAGGCATTTGTTCCCTCTTAAACCGCCGAACATACCCCGGTGTGTGCAGCTGAATATACAATGGCGTCTTATTTTGTTTACAAGCAACAGATTCCTTTATTTTTGTGTCGCTGCATTTGTCATCAAAATAAAACCATGCGCGGGGTTTAGAGTGAGGCAATAGATCATACATTTAGCCTGACGGTAGTGAATTAAGAGAAAGAACTCAAGAGAAGATGAAAACATAGGCACTGAAAATGTGTGAGATGTCATGGGACATCGTCTGCTTGTGCAAGTCAAGTCCATACTGTGATCTCACACATCTCAGCAGCGTTCGGAGAGCTCTTCAGGTGCTATGCCGGGGCCGTATTTAAGCGTTTTGTAATTTATAATAATCATTACTTCGAATGTTTCCAAGCATTGAATTTTGATAAACTTGTCGAATCAAAGTTTCAACTTTGCAATAATGAAAATAAAGTTAGTTTTTAAAATCAATAAATATCTACTTTAAAGGAGAATACCCATCTTTTTGTTGTTGACACCACCATACTACGGTAGAAGTATCCCAGGTCCGTCACCGAAAACTCACGCGATTTTACTTTGACTTGCAGTTGAAGGCGCTGATTTAATAATAATAATAGTAAACACTGCTGTTTTTTCCTCTAAGTCCAAACAGAAATCCGGACATTTGGTCCCACTTTCTGAGTGGTGAGTTGACAGTGATTGAGCTGTGAAACTTTTTTACCCATGGTACCATGCCGGTGCTCTCCCGGGCACGGTTAAGCGTCGGCCTGGACAGTGCCAGGTGAACGCGCAAAAAAAAAAAAAAAAAAAAAAAAAAAAAAAATTAAAAATCGTATTTTTATGACAAAAAATCGTAACGCTTAATTTAAATTAAAAAATCGTAATAATTACGCCAAAGTTGTAGTTGGCAGGTATGTATATGTATGTGTCTGCGTTTCCCCGTGGATTCTCTGTCTAAATCTCTCCCTCTCTCATTTGGTATCTGCGGATCTCTTTCATTCTCCTTTTCTCCACTATCCCTCTCCTCATTGTTTCTCCCATATTTACTTGTGCCCCCCCCCCTCTCTTTCTGCTCTCTTCTTTTCTTTCCCGTTTCCTAAATTATGGATTCACTGGAATGGAAGCACTAGAACACTCTTCACATTTCATTCTTCCTTTTTATCTATATCCACTCCCCCTCTCATCTCTCTCTCTCTCTCTCTCTCTCTCTCGCTGGCCTTCTATTTAGCTTCCTTTTCCGACTCTATTTTGATTATATCAATTTTTTTCCTCTCTCTGGCTCTACCTCTTATCTATATTGCTTCCTATACTGATCGTTGTTTTACTCTTCTCTCCCCCTCTCTGTATTCCTCTTACACTTCTTGTCCCATGTATATAAGTTCTATTCTGTCATCGACCCCCCCCCCCCCTCCCTTTTCTTCCCTTCCTTTGATATCACCATCGGAATATACACTCGCTCATTAGTACTAGAGGTGTTTTGTAAAGCTGTTCGTAAAGTTACACATGACGAACGACTTGTATGTGGAAAGCCAAATGGGATGCTCAATCGTTATTAACTGCATCCACTAAAGTTGAACTGTGCAGATGTAGATTAACATTCTTTTCATAACAAACATTTTTAATGCAAAGTATATTTTTTGCCATAATTTAATTGAGATTATTGGAAATATCAGAAAAAACTTTGGGCATCCTATCTGGCACTTCATATACAAATCGTTCGTAAAGTTATGTGTAACTTTACAAACAGCTTTATGAAACACCCCCCTGGTCCTACAATCCCAAGTAACCTGCAAGTACATTGTACAAGCACATGTAATCTGTACATGTTTCATGCAGAATGACTTGGACCATGAAAATGTCTAAACTGACAATAATTTAATCAACATTTATTCTATATTTTTCCAGTCACCAATACAAGATATATGATAATAATGCAAAAATAAAAGATTACACAATATTTTCTTCGCACACGACATCGCATCATGCATTTATAACTTGCTCACAACTTGTTGTGTAGACTTTGCAAACTTAAAGGCTAAGTCCACTCCAAAAATAATTTGCTTTTAATAGATGCAGAAAAACAAGAGAAACATAGCGAACAAAATTTAGTAAAATCGGGTAACTAATCAGGAAGTAATGATTTTTTCTTTTAAGTATGAAAAACTGTGGAACTTAGAAAATCTCTACTCAAATCAGTTTGTGATACATTGCCTCGCAATTTATCTATTGCTTTATGTATTTTATCCCATTAATTTCCCTTTTTATCCCCCAAAACTTGGATTTCACATGCCTTTGCCAAGGTTATATTTGTATCATATTGCATGCATGCATGCAAAATCTTTTATGAACTTTGAACTTTGATAGCATTTTCTGAATCATAATCATTGATTTGTGTATAAATAGTTAATCAAAATCCAAATTTTCCATGATTTAACATTTTAACTGAACAAAATTACTCTTCGTTAGTGCATCCATACAAAAACATGTTACTATCAATATAACTTGGAAGCTGGTGTGAGGAAACAAGATTATATTTATATTATCAATATAAAGAAAACAATAGTTGATAGTGAGGCAATGACGTCACAGGCTCATGAGTGAGTTGCCAATTTGTCTTGTGATATTCAATGCTGTTCATGTCATTACAAATTCATAACTTTCTTATTAATTATCCGATTTTGCTCAATTTATTTTAATTGGTTTGTCTGATTTTTCTGCTTCTATTGAAAGTAAGTTATTTTTGGAGTTGACTTGCCCTCTAATTTTTACACAAAATATACATGTACCATGAATAGGAATAAGAGTTTGTCAGACATGAGACAATCGCATTAAACTTAAATGGTCTGCATTATTTTGCTCTTCCTGAACACTCCGAGGAGGCAAGAGAAATCCTTTAAATAAACATTTAGAACAAAAAAACGTTCAGCCTAGCAAACAATACATATTAAGATAATGATGAGAGCATCACTCGTATTTTATGACGTATTACAATCATACTTAATACCATAATACTGCAAAACACTCTCTACCTAATACCTATACATGTATTTCATGTCAAACACATTCGCTTAACAGAGGATGATTTGTATATGCACACTTGTGAGAAGAAAACCCTGCTGTTTACAATAATTTGTTTTATTTTACTTTAGCATGTACTTGTCATGGTCATGCGATTGCATTGTGAAAGAAACGTGGAATCAATCAGAAAAGGTTGACCATCTAGCATATAAGTATTGGTGTGTACTGCAAGGTTCTGCAATCATCAAAATGATAAGAAATTTGGTCCAATCTTGGTAAAGTTACAAGCACCATACCAGAAAGATGTATATGGGACTGCGCACACGTGCGCGACATGTGCGTTTTATCTATCACCGTCCAATAGATAAACTAATTTAGCAAATATATCAATTAGTAGGTGGTTTCCCAACAAAATTTGTATCATCATTTATTAGTCAAAACATATTCTTTCACATGATTGGTAATAAGAGCTTCCATTTCATTTTTTTGAAATTGGGCATTTCCAATACTGGTCTTTACCTTTAATATAATTGGTTCATGTACCAGTGTAACATAGGTTAACAACAGAAGACTGGGATGTAAAAAGCGAACTGAATCACTGCGACCCTTGACACCATGGGTGTCGATCCTTACGTAATACCTATTCATCAGGGGGGATGAATGAATAGATCATCCCCCCCTGATGAATAGGTATCAGTTACGGATCGACACCCATGCTTGAGACTCTTCTCTCGGTATAACTGATTAGGGGTGTGCAGGTGGACCACTACATTCAAGGTCTTAATGAAATGTTTGACTTTGAATTCAAAGCGTAAGAAATGTTGATTGTAAACCTAATTGCAAATTTGAAGACCTGGAAAATATAGTTATGATTGTGGTCTTTTAAAAAACCACTTGTTATTTCAGTGACTACCAAAACCTGTTTCTGTGTACCAAATAATTCACATTGTACACTGTGTAAAGTAAACGATATAAAGTAGTGAAAACATAATGCAGCGAGTGAAATATAAATATGGAGTGTAGGAACATATCTTTTTTGTACAAGAAAATGATTTATTTGTACTTGTGCGTGTAATTTTACACATTGAGTTATCTGTCTGATTTATTATTATCATTATCATGATTACTAATGCTCTCTTTATCAAGTGTATTGCAGATGATGGTACTTTGTTCACAGCTAGTTTATTCTTATAAAACTAGAAATTGAACCATAATAATTATTATCATGCACAAAACTATACATTTGATATCAAGAAACTGTTGTCTGTTTAATATATGTAAACTATTTAAAGATATTATCAATAGTGATGCTATATTGTGCAGCAGCTTAAGTTATCTCTTAGATATACAACAATATAGATTTGCAAGTACACACACATGTACATTTAGATATTATAGTTATATTGTAAAACAAAATGTAAACTATTTTTATACACAAAGTACTTGGCAATTTGTCCAATGAGTTGAGAATTATATTGTTGCCCTTAGAGAATTATTAAATTGTCAAACCTACTGTGTAAAGCCACAAAAACGTATCTATAACCGAATATTAAAGAGAATTGTTTTGTTGTGTGTGTTTAGCACCAAGCACATATTACCCTGGTAGAAAGGAAATCTACTAAAACTAGATGGAACTTCGACTGCGCGCAGTCGAAAATGATGCCTCCGTCATAGAGCAATTTTACAAACCAAAACAGAAGAAATTTTTCAAATTCAAGTTCAATTGTAATCCATTAAGAGGTTCTCAGAATATCGTGATTACAAGCAATTTCTCATATACATATATGACCCTTTGATCTTTGACCTGATGACCCTAAAATCTACTCAGTTCATTGGCTCTGCAAGATGTCCTGAGTTAAATAGTAATCCATCTGTCAGTTCTAATGAGAATGCGTTCACAAGTTATTTTTGGATACATAATGAGCCCATGACCTTTGACCTCATGACCCATGAATCTACTCAGTTCATTGGCTCTGCAAGATACATACATGATCGAAATTTGGCAGGAATCCATCAATCTGTTCTAATGAGAATGCGATCACAAGCTATTTTCGCATACATAATGAGCCCTGTGACCTTTGACCTCGTGACCCCAAAATCTATTCAGTTCATCGGCTCTGCAAGATACATACATGACCAAAGTTTGGCAGGAATCCATCGATCGGTTCTTGAGATAATGCCATCACGAGCTCTTTTTGCATACCTAATGAGCCCTGTGACCTGTGACCTTTGACCTTGTGACCCCAAAATCTAATCAGTTTATCGGCTCTGCAAGATACATACAAGACCAAAGTTTGGCAGGAATCCATCAATCGGTTCTTCAGATAACGCGATCACGAGCTGTTTTTGCATACATAATGAGCCCTGTGACCTTTGACCTTTGACCTCGTGACCCCAAAATCTAATCAGTTCATCGGCTCTGCAAGTAACATACATGACCAAAGTTTGGCAGGAATCCATCAATCGGTTCTTCAGATAACGCGATCACGAGAACGGGACGTACGGACGGACGGACGGACGTACGGACGTACGGACGTACGGACGTACGGACGGACGGACGGACAACCCGAAAACATAATGCCTCCGGCTACTTCGTAACGGAGGCATAAAAATCTTTAAAAAAAACTGGTCTGGAAATGATTTTTCATTACTATTTTTCTCTAAGCTTGACATATGGAACGTGGAGAGAAGTTGGATCTTCTCTGTTTAAAGGGATCGGGTAACTTTGCCTCAGATTCTATACAAAATCCTCGATTTTACTCATGCTGCAATCATAATTATAAACATTTGGGTCAGTCAGGAATCCCATGACTTTTACAAGCCGATCACCCGTCTGATTATCAAGGAATATACGATTGGACTGAATTCAAAATTTCAAAAAACGATTGGGGAAAATGAGTACGGTAAAGCGCAATTTTTTTAGGGCTCCAATATTATACCAATCACAGACACTGATAACACGTAGGGCCGTGCATCTTACGTTTGTAAAACTAGAACCGTTGTTAAACGATGCTATGTTGTTTCTGTCACAAAGCCAATGGGACTTGATTGCGTGTCAAAGCACTGGACAATTCAGATTGTTGCCAAAAAAAATAGTCCTAAGTTTATAATTATAGAAAATGAAGAAGAAAAAAAAATGTAATTTCATTCCAATTATGTAAAGCATGAAAGATGAAAATCAAGAAGATAATACCTCCACTGCAAATTCATATGATAGATTAGCGAAACATAGTGGCACAAAAAAATGCATGTTGTTGAATATCATCATTTTATCACATAGATGGAAAATCACAATAGGATATGGAGCTAGCAAAATATTTCAGTAACGCTTGATTTTACCTAGAAGCTTTCATTCAGAGATGTCTAGAAAGAAATTTTCATCTTTAATCATCGCTAACTGTTATAGGTCTTTTACATTCCAGACATGTCTTTTCATGCCGCTACATTTCGCTAAGCTACCAAAGTATTATATAAATGTTGAAGGTTTACATTGTACCAAAAAGCAGTGAAAATTAATTACAACAAACAGAACCAACAGAAATTTTTAAGAATTATATTCCCTCATAGCAGGAAAAAAATATAACATGATTACAATATCTTTCATATAATAACAAATAAAGTCAAATTGATCAATTTTAGGAAAATTTGGCGGCCTAACTTTTACCTCTTCTTGTCTCTGACATAGTGACCAAAGGTCAGGTCGTAGTTCTTGAACTCTGAGTACTGGCGATCATGACGGGTGTAGCGGTCAAGCAAAGTCTCTTTGAGGGTGTCACGACTTGACCGGCAGGCTGCTTGCTGTGTCCAGACAGAATGTGGAGAGAAAGAGTGACAGAGTGAAAGAGAGACAAACAGAGAGAGAGAGAGAGAGAGAGAGAGAGAGAGAGACGGAGAGACAGACAGACACAGAAAGAGAGACAGACAGAAATACAGACAGAGAGACAGAGAATGAGAGAGTCGGATGGGAGAGAGGATTAGAGGGTGGGTTTAACAGAGAGGGGAGAGAGGGAAGGAGAAGAGAGAAAAATAAGTTATTATTGTTCAAAATCTATAGTCTATAATCTATATCCTTGCAACTCAATAAATGATTCAAATTCATGACCTCATCAATACACTTTTTTTTTCCAAAGAATTTAATTTGACTCCCAGGGAATTTAATTTGATTTGACAACACTTTGAAGGAAAATTTACTTTCAGAAGCTATTAATCAATGGATGAAAAACAAGGCTTTTGTTATAACAGCAATTTTTTTCTCGTCTTTATGGCATTTCTCCTTTTAACTCATGACTTTTATTACTACAATAATTATAGAAAATTTAATTTGACTTTCAGGGATACGAACCCACTCTTTCTCATGACAAATCTACTTTCAAAAGCTTTTAGAAAGTACTTAGTAGGGCTATTAAAAAAAAATTAAATGTATACACACACACACAAAATGTATAATAAACAACTTTGAAGTGAATATCATTTATCTTTCCTTGGGTTTTTCCTTGCCAGAATACTGGTCAGAAAATGAAACTGAGGAATCATATACGGAGTCATATTTAGGCCATTTAAAAAAAAAAAAATGCATTTATAGATATTAATATATGTACACGTTCATATTTATTTTTCCCGTTGCCAGGTTACTGGTCAGAAAACAAAAACTGAGAAATCACATTTGAGGTTATAATTCAGGCCATTTCTGTGTCACTAATGCATACATATCTGTACACGTCCAAACAAAATTAAGGCACGTTGATATATTTTACGTCTTACCTTATTATCAGTTGTTAGAGGGTGTAAGATAATGGAAATCCATTAGGCAATGTGATTTAGGTATTGCTCTGAATATTATGGATTGAATAATCAATAAATGCCCACTTCCTTTTGTATATTGTGTGCTCAGAGCCAGAGGGGCACCAAGTAGGAGCTTGATAAACTAAAAGAGGTAATATTCCTCTCAATCGAAACGTCCTATATAGTCCAAGGTCAAGGAAATTAACAAGTAATGCATACACAATTTTGTCAATGTACAAAGTTAAAAGCAAAGTTTTTTTGAAATATGAACTTGATTCTTTGTTAGGGAAATTCATAAAAGAATTTCATTAAAAGGAAATTATTCTGCATTAAACAATTTGGATATCACACTTGATAATATTCTGTTTAAGTAATTCTGCTATGACAAATATGAAAAAGAATCTCTGTATGGTTTGAATTCAAGATTCGTATAACAATCAAATATGAATAGATGAAAATGAATACAAAATTGAGAAATAAGTCTGAACAATGGAGGCGTGATGGCTCAGCTGTAGAGCAGTGGTCTCGTAACCCGGAGGCCCCAGGTTGGAAACAAAGTCAATGCCCTAGTGCCCTTTGGTAAGGAATTAATCCTCATTACCATTCCCTTGGAGAGGACTTAAGCTGTTCGTCCAATGGTTGCTTACTTACAAGCATACACATGCTTTCTTAGTAAAACTAACAAAGTAATTACCTCATTGGTGAAGAGAGTCATGACAAACTTGCCGGGTCTGAAGGTGGAGAGGATCCGATCTACAAGGCTACTGTAATCCTCCTGGAAAGTAACATTCAAAACAAAATCCTATTACAATTCTGATTGCCGAGGTAAGAACAAAATGGTTACATGAAAGTTATTCTATCCAATCCATTCCATTTTTTTTTGTAATGTAGCCACATTTCTTTGCAGTTGACTGATTGATTGATTGATTTTATTTCATTTCATCAATTATTTGCACATTAAAGAACATAGTTTACAAAGTTAAAAGTTATAAAATGAAACAGGAACCTACTGGAAAGCATAGCTTGTTTATGTAGGTTCCCAATAAATAAATGAACATTATTTTCATAAATCATTTTAAATTGTCTTAACAATCACAGTAAAATAGATATAATATAATAACATAGTTTCATAAAACCTTTTAAAGTATTTAAATAATCAAATTATACAAAAAGAACAGTTTTACAAAACGGGACACTAAGGACAGGAAACTGACATAATAAGATAAGTCAAGACATGACAATACAATTCATAACAGGACAAGATAAACAAAACATGACAGGACAGGACAAAACAAGACATGACAGGACAAAACAAGACACAAAAACAAAGCTGTACACTTCAGAAATTAGAAGAAGAAGAAGAGAGAGAGAGAGAGAGAGAGTGAGACAGGGGAGATGTGAGAAGTTTAAAGGAAACCAAAACCTTCATACTAAGTTACTTTTATTGTAGAGTTTAAAAGATTTGAATAAAATCAGTGAAAATTTGAACAAAATCAGGCAAGGAATAAGAAAGTTAGAGCTTTTTGAAATGACTAGTCACTAGAGGGCGGTATTCAATTTGATGACATCATCCGTGAACAACTCTTCATGCCTTTTGTACATAAAATTTCACAATTTTTTTGTTGTTTTCTTCGTATTTATTAGTGTTCTTGATCCGACTTCATAACATGTGATGTAGAATATCATTTTGCATTCTATATCTTGCTTTCAGGGAGTACATTATCTCAATCACAAGAAAGAAGTAAAAACATGAAATTTGATGTACAAAAGGCATGGAGAGTTGTCCACATATGATGTCATCAAATTGAATACCGCCCTCTAGTGACTAGTAATTTCAAAAAGCTCTTACTTCCTTATTCCTTGCCGATTTTGTTCAAATTTTCACTGATATTTTTCAAATATCTTAAACTTTACAATAAAAGTAACTTAGTATGAAGGTTTTGGTTTCCTTTAACCTGTACGAGACATGTATCTTTGCCCTATCTACATACATTGTTCCACATGATTGAGCGACTTAAACAAAGACATAACACTTCTAAATATGAGGACAGGGATTTAGATATTACATGAATTAACATTAGTCAGGTAAAATGAGCAAAGAGTTGAATGAACTGCATACCAGCTTAAGCTTTGTAGTGGAATAGATGGCAAATCTCGCCCAAATAAGTGTGTTGGATAACGCGTTGTGAACTACAAAGGCCTACAATTTTCTTCCACAAATAACAGTTACCTCTATCACGAAGTTGGCATCAATGGAAGATATATTATGCCGAAATTATTAAATGTAACAAAACTGTTTTAAGTCAAGATTATAGTCCTGTAAGTTCGTTTACATCCAAAAGTGTGGTCTTCCTGATATCTGGGGTGGCCCAGAGAAGAGTCAAAACAGTCAAAACCGATGCATGGCTTATTGTTTTTAACAGAAACAAAGGTAAAAAAAATACTAATTTACCATGGAAGCATTTGTCTCAAAGCTGACGTAAGAGAACTCCTTCTCTGGTGTAACATGGATAGTGACATAGCCATCCTGAGGGTGGAAAATAAAGAAAAATGATGGTTGATTTGTTTTTCATTGTATGCATATCCAATACATATCCACTAACACAGGTACATATATGTTTGACATCCCCCTTACCTCAAATACACAATTAGTCCAACAAAGTAACTGTGTCAGCAAGGCTTTTTACTTTTTTAGGATGTTCATGAACATCATTCAATGCATTACATTCAATGTATCCTCAAAATGTCTTCTCTAAAGTCATATTTTTACTTTTCATGAACAATAACATAGCAACTTAGGGCTCAAATTAATCCAAGGCCACCAAGGCCATGGCCGTGGATGACCTTTTGACTGGCCTCAATGCCCCTCTGACTGGCCTTGGAGATTTTGTGTGCCCTTTCCAATTCTTCCTATTTGTGCTGTAATATAGGAATGTGCCCTACAGAAAAGTGGCCGTGCCCTAAAAATATTAAAATTTAAGACCTGGCAACTTTTGCTAGACTGATGTGTTACATCAAACATTTTATCCTCCAACATCCTTTTTTTAATGTGTTTGTTTGTTGTTGTTGTTTTAATTATACAAGGCCTGCCCACAAAATTATGTGTCAGCAAGGGAAAGCTGTACCAAACTGTAAACTGTCAAAGACATGAACCTAGACCTTGATATCATAGACATCCAAGGCCATTCTCTGTCAGTAATTGTAGCTGTACTTACATCCTTCAGCAATCCATTCATGGAGTAACCACACGGCTCAAAGACAAAGCCGTCTATCTTACAATCAGGCACAAGATCAGCTATACCACTCTCCTGTGTTTTCATGAGAGAGAGAGAGAGAGAAAATGGTATACCAGGATAGAGAGAGAGAAAGAGAGAATTAGCAAGACAGAGAGGACAAGAGAGAGAGATAGAGAGAAAGATAGAGAGAAAAATATGAGTGGATCAAGAGAGAAGAAAGAGCGAGCAGAATGAGTGTAAGAGAGAGAGAGAGAGAGAATGTGCAAGACAGAGATGACGAAGAGAAAGAGAGAGAGAGAAAGATTAAACAGGGGAGAAGGTGAGAGGGAGAGAGAAAAAGACAAGAGGAGAAAAGAAACAAAATAGCCGGTCAAATACTGCAGAACAAAAATGGAATGGTAGCATTTATTCATGATAACGATCAAAAAGCATAAGGTAAATAAAATAAACCAAACACTGTACAAATATTCAATAATTTGGCGCTACATATTGAAATTTATTAGCAGAACCTGCAGCCAGTTCATACAAACGCATGTAAATATGTAAACATTTCACCCTCGTGTTTAGACAGACATCTGCCAGTAACTCATGATTACTGCGACAATCATGTCGGTCCAAAATAGCTTTCTTATGATGCCATTGATTGATTTAAATAATAAGAAAATTCTATTTACAATAAATTGGAGGGTGTAGAATCGCCCCATTGACCTAAAGCCTCATCCAGATATCCTGGGGTAAACTCTGGATTAAAAAAAATTGAATAATGACATCAGTATATGCTATGCTTCACATTTTAAAATCTTAAATGCAGAGCTAAGTAAATATGCATAGGAACTTTGTTGAACTCAGTTGCAATTCATTTACAGGTTGAAAAGAAAAAAATATGCCTTCAGTTGTATGACAAATAGGCTTAATAGAGCTCTGTTTAAACTCCTTAGGCCATGTAAAATTGATTTCATGTTGATCGTCCCCGCCCACTTCCTTTTTGGGGCCGCCTCCTATTTTTTGTTATTTGTTATTTTTGTTATTTTTTTTTTGTTATTTTTTTGTTTGTTTTTTTTTTGTTATTTTTTTTTTTTGAAAGAAAAAAAACATGAAAAACACTGCTAAAATGGCTCTAGACCTAGAGGTCTATTTCTGATTTAAAAAAAAAAAAATTGTCGGCCGCCATCTTGAAAAAAAATAGCCTCGACTGTCAGGGAAAATGTACCGAGCGGCCATTTTGAGCGGCCATTTTGAAATATCAAATATCAAATAACATGGTAAACCCTCCTCCTCTTTTTCAAAAAATCCGGACGATCAACATGTAATCAATTTTACATGGCCTTATGGTAAAGTCATTATCTGACATTTGCATCATCCTCATACTCTCCCGAGAGAAAAAGGGGGTATTTCTTGATTGACCTACAGGATCGCTGTGTGTAGACTAGTACACCCATTAATGGCATTTCCATTAACCCTATTTTAACTGGGCTATTTCAGACCAGGTTTTTACTGGGGGGGGGGGGTCAATTTGACCCCCCCCCCCCCTAAAATCTCGGCCGTTTCACCGCCGATCGCCGCGAAAATTTGCATGCATGTCAAGAGAAGTGTATAGAATAATATGGTAATTTCAAATTTTTGAAAAATTCACTCATTTGCATATTTATGGTAATTTATGCAAATAAGGTCATACAATTCACATTTCTGCCCATAAATCATAGTTTATTCATATCTAAGTATTCTTTTTCACTACATATATTTATTAGACCATTTGGAATAATAATACAACACAAACAATTGGAAGAGCCAGGTTATTCCTTATGTTATCTCTTGTTTTTATAATTTCTTATGTATTTCATTGTTTTTTTAACTTATGTATTTTATTGTTTTTGTTGTTTTATTTCATTTATAACTACAATTCAACTATTTTGACCCCTAAACAAACATCTGAACTTTAAACAAGACTGAATAACCAATGTTTTATCTATTTTTAGGAAAAATGACTTTTACATATGTTTTGTACACAAATCACGAAAATGAGCGATTTTCGGGCTGACATGCAAAGACAAAAGGTCACGTGACCTTGTAACCGTAGGTCCGATTTTCGAAAAAATTGTTTTAAAAGATGCGTAAGACTCGAAAGTAAAAAGTCATGAAAGGAAAATTTTATATCTGCCACGGTTTTGGAGTAGTCGCGAAATTTCTACAGGGGGGGGTCAAATTGACCCCCCCCCCCCCCAGTTAACATAGGGTTAAAGGGATCCGGTGACTTTGTCTCAGACTCTGAAACAAAATCCTGGATATAGCTCATGCTGCAATGATATTTATAAATCTTTAGGTCAGTGAGGAACCCCATGATTTTCACAAGCCGATCGCCTGTCTGATTATCAAGATATTTATGGTTGGAACTCAAAACCAAATTTGGAATTTTCCTAACAATACAGTTTATTGGGGAAAATGAGTACCATATTTGCCGGCGTAAAGGCCGCAGTATTTTTGGAAGAGAAAATATTAAAAAGTCGGGGTGCGGCCTTTACGACGAAAGAGTAAAAAAAAAAAAAAAAACGAAAGTCAAAACCAAGACGAATTTGCATGTATGGGACTAGAAAGGGTAAAATAACAATACCACTATGGTACAGGACATTTCAAAACATCTTACCGACAATTTTATCTTGCATTGTTAACATGAAGACAAAAATAAACGTCCTAACACAACATTTGCCGATAGATCTTGATCTAAGTTCGTGCCAATGCATTGCAAAGGTAAAGGAAGGGACAGTCTAACGGAGCTGCCGCGAACATCCATCCGAAGTCGCCATTTTGTTTTTCCATTTCATGCAGTTTCGCATTACACCGTACATTGTGGTAGGGGTATATCGGACACCAAATCTGCCTGCGATCACTTTTTTAGCTAAACTTCCGGTAAATTATAAGAATATGGATGAATTTGGTATCAGTTTGTAAAAAAAAAATAGTGTTTTCGAGAAAATTATGATTAGTTTTTTTTGTCTGTTTCTTTTTTTTTTTTTTTTTTCCCTCTTTGAAATGTCAAAGTTGGGGGTGCGGCCTATACGGCGGTGCGGCCTTATTGCCGGCAAATACGGTATGGTAAAACCAGGCACTCAAAGATTTTTATTTCTTTGAGGCACTTTATGATTATTTTGAAGCGATTTTTTGTTACGGCTTCAATATTACACCATTCACAGACACTGATAACACGTTGAGCCATACATCTCAGATTTAACATTGTTAAACCATGCCATGTCCCTGGTAAGCTCGTGCCATTCCCCTCTAACTCCAATTGTCTTACCTTGGTGACATCCTCTGACTTGCGTCCAGTGGTGTTCTGAAAGTGGGCCATGACCTCATCGTCTAGGTCAGTCATTAGCATGTAGGCCAAAGGTCAAGGAAACTCTAATTTTTTTTGTTACAGACGTGTTTCAATCAGATACCATTATTTACGTCTGGGGACTGACCATTAACGTCACCATCCAAAAGATGTAACTCTGAGCCAGTTTGTAGGCAAACACAGAGAGCTGACCAATGATTATCAAATAGAAAATAGAAATCCCAACTTGAGAACCATTCTTTTTCTTATTTTCCTAATATTTTTCAATTAAAATAAAACATATTATTACTGGTAATCAATCAAATAATGTATCATTTAGATATCTATCTATAATTTTAATCTGTTGACCATTCTCTGTTTCCCAACATTTATCTTGTTCAGCCATTCACCCCACTGTCTTTCATGATCACTTTTCATTTTTCTAAGAAAAATAATGTTCATGAAATACTTTAAAGTACACTAATTTTTGCACAACAGCTTGTTCACCTTCTGTTATGTAAGATTGAAAGTTTGTATGCATATTTAAACATGAACAACATACAAAGATGACACATACAAAGATGACACAAACAGGCATTTCTATTACGTAACAGAATTCATGTTTCCTCTGAACGGTTACACTGAGAGTTTTAACTAGGATGATGGTTGATGTGGAGACCCTTATGGACATTCACTAATTAAACGGTGATGACCTGGATAGTGTTTCACAAAGACTAAGATCGACTTAAGTTGGACTTCAACTATAGCAGGCCATTCATGTAACTGGTTGCTCTCACCATTGGTCTCTCAATTATGATATTTAGATAATATTTTTTCCTTCAATAATAAACCATGTAAATGTAAATTTTGTAGATTTGCGACCATGATTTGTACATCCATTGAGAAACCAATGCCTGGGGGGTGTTTCATAAAGCTGTTCATGAAGTTACGCATGACTTTACGGACAACTTGTATATGAAAAGCCAGATGGGATGCTCAATCATTATAAAATACATCAACTTAAGTTGAACTGTGCAGATGTACAGTGTAGATAAACATTCTTATGATAACAAACATTTTTAATGCAAAGTATATTTTTTGCCATAATTTAATTGAGATTATTGAAAATATCAGAAAAAGACTTTGGGCATCTATCTGGCACTTCATATACAAGTCGTTTGTAAAGTCATGCGTAACTTTAAATACAGCTTTATGAAACACCCCCAGGAATGGTTAGAGGAACCAGTGTTATCAACAGCCTGCCATAGTTCAAGTCCAACTTAAAGTCGGTCTTAGTCTTTGTGAAACACCCCCCTGGAAGGCTTCATATTTTGTTTGCTATGAAAGGATATTTCCAAGGTCTGATCTGGTTGCTCGATGCTGGTATCATCCAATGTGTAGAGGTACCTGAGGAGTAGAAATAAAAACAGTAACAAATAATTCATGAAAATTACTACGACATATATTTGTATGAAATGTCTACTGTTTAGCCAACCAGACATATCAATGTACCCATGAGAGCTGGTGATTTCTGTGGCAAAGCAGATGAAGATGGATGGACTCTGGTTATATTGACAAATGAGACTCATAGATGAAGAACAACAGAGAAGGTCAGTATATTAAACATCCTCCAACATGGGTTTCATGTATGGCAGTGAAAGTTGTCCCACTTCATCCCTCATTGACCTTTTTGCGTCAGTCATTCCACATTTTGTGTTTTGGGCCTTTGGCTCAATAACTTTTGATTCAGAGCCCTAAGGAACTTGTGCACAAACTGCATCCATTTATGTTTCATGACTATATTACGTTCAGGCGCGTACGCAGGGGGGGGGGGGGGGGGGGGGGGGGGGGGGGGGGGGGGGGGGGGTGGGGGTAAACCCCCCCTTGACTTTTTTTATGTGTATGTTTTGTGTATGATTTTTGTGAACCCCCCCCCCCCTTTTGATTTTTTGTTTTTTGTTTTTTTTGTAATAAAAAAAAAAAAAATTATGCCAATGGCTGACTTAAAAAAGGTTACCTTATCCCCCCCCCCCAACGGAACAAAATGTCAGATTTTCAAATTTCGAGACCCCCCCCCCAAAAAAAGTGTCCTCTTACCCCCCCCCCCCCCCCCCCCCCCCCCGAGCGACTTTTTGGCTGGCTGAGCCAGCCAGAGTCGTTGAGATTTTTTTTGGACTCCCAAAAAAAAAAAAGTGTCCGCTTACCCCCCCCCCCCCCCCCCCCCCCGCCCACTGAGCGACTTTTTGGCCGGCGCGATTTTCAAATTTTCCTGAGTCGTTGCGAAATTTTGGGCCCGATTTTAAAACCCCCCCCCCTTGAAAAAATCCTGCGTACGCCACTGATTACGTTTGATGTTCTGAATTGTAAAAAGGAAAGTAAAGTAAGCTTTAAAATTCTTAAATTGGCAATGTGTTGACAGATGTATAGTTTTTTAATCAAAATTGAAAAATATTCAACTGTTTGACAACATTCTTGACAATGGCCCGTATTCTGAAGTCGTGTCTAACTTAGCCACGTCTAAAGTTAAACAACTGTTTAGTTAGACACGACTTAGACAGGACTTAGACGCGAGGTCGTGTCTAAGTCCTGTCTAACTAAATTTCGTATTCTGAAGTCGTGTCTAAGTCTCGTCTAACTAAACAACTGTTTAAGTCCTGTCTAAGTGCTGTTTAACTAAACAACTGTTTAAGTTCTGCGCAAGTCGTGTTTAACTCTTAGTCACGACTTCTGCGCATGCCCAGTAGGCGTTAATTATGACGAAAGACCCAATGGGCATGCGTGCGCGCACCGCATAAATAAATTAACGCGCACAGCTAGCTGTGCGCGTGCTGGTACCATGGTGATGTGATCGTGACGTAATGACTAGACTGCATGTACTTTGTGTACGTACGTACGTAGTACACGTACTGTACAATGAGATTGACAAACACACTACTTATCAGTGCCTCAGTGCTCGGAAGAACCAGAAAATAAACTTCTCCAACAGAATGGTTAGTTTATTATAGATTATGGAATTTCCAAGATGTCACCAGTAGATAAGAATAGTTAATATTATCGAGAAAAAAAATTAGGCTACACGAGAAAAAATCCTGCAAAACGTATTTGAAATTTTAGAGAATGCACGTACCATCGTTCTCCCCCGCAAGTTCGGGTCAGCAAGTAGAGTGTACCGTCGACGTTGAAAAGCAGCAGAATCGCGCCCTTAAACAGGACTTAAACAACCCCTCGCAGTTGTCTAAAGTTAAACAGGACTTAGACAAGACTTCGTGTTCAACTTTATTTAAACACGACTTCAGAATACCAAAAAAGTTAGACACGACTTTGTGTCTAAAGTAAGACAGGACTTAGACAAGACTTAGACAACTGTTTAGTTAAACAGGAGTTAGACACGACTTCAGAATACGGGCCAATGTATTTCATGGTCAGATGTAGCAATCAAAGAAAAATGATGTTACTGCCAATTTGAAGGACAATCTTTGATCAATTTAGCACTAAAAATAAATCTTGTCCTGACAGAGTTAAAAAAGAGTCTATAATAAATCTGATATGCTCATGTTTCTGGTAAAAACACAAGCAGGGTCTACCAAAGGAGCGTGAACCATGGTATTGCAACATCCCATTTGGGTGTGAAGAGTCTCAGACACAACATTTCAATTAAAGGTAAAGACCAGTATTGGAAACACCCCAATTTCAAAAAATGAAATGGAAGCTCTCATTACCAATCATGTGAAAGAATATGTTTTGACTAATACATGATGATAAAAAATTTGCCGAAAAATCGCTTTGGTAAATTTGTTTCTCTCATGGTCTGTGAGAGATATAGGGTAGTCCCATATACATCTTTCTGTGTATAGTGCTTGTAACTTTACGAAGAATGGGCCAAATTTCTTATCATTTTGATGATTCCAGATGCGAGATGCTAGATGATCAACCTTTTCTGATCGATTCCATAACGTTTCTTTCACAATGCAATCGCATGACCACAACTGGTCTTTACCTTTAACCAGCTGAGGGCTGAATTTTCTCAATCCAATAGACTTTATACAGGAGCCATTCTGTTCCAGTTGACAATGGGTTAAATGTGGACCCTGTTTCATCAAACTTGTTACTAATAACCTGTTGCATTTGTTTGTTTGTTTGTTTTATTTCCATATAAAAAGACATCATGCATTCAGAAAATAATAACAAATAGAATTATGAATTACAAGATAAAATAAAAATGCAACATGTGAATGAAAGAATTTATAACATTTATATTAAATTTTATTACCTAAAGAATATGATCGTACATTTACATTTCATGTAAATGTAATAGAATTCATATATTTCATTTTGTAAACCAATAACATTACACTCTAGTTCATTCATTGGTGAATATGAGCGCATTTGATAACTTCAGTACTACCCAAAGCCACTTCACTCCATGGCTTTAGATAATTCTTGAGTTGATCGTGTGCACTTTTTTCCCCACCGCACTCAACACTGAGAGTCGTATGTTATATGTTTATGATGTGATCGTGCACTTGTTTTCCCCACTGCACTCATTACTTAGAGTCGTATGTTTTATGTTTATGATGTGATCGTGCACTTGTTTTCCCCACTGCACTCAACACTTAGAGTCGTATGTTATATGTTTATGATGTGATCGTGCACATGAATGTTTACTTACCAGCAATCCCCATTCATTCTCCCCAAGACATAGGCAGCACCTCCTACAAAATAATGAAATTCAAAAATAATACGGGTCAAAAAGTGATAATGCAATAGCCTGGATTTGTCAAAAGCGTTCGACACCATTGACCACCACATACTGCTCAAAAAATTAAATTATTATGGTATTCGCGGCCTTCCATTGAAATTAATTGAAAACTATTTGAGTGATAGAAAGCAGTATGTGGTGGTTGACGGTGTCTGTTCGACTAAAAGGGATGTAATATGTGGTGTTCCTCAAGGATCTGTTCTAGGGCCCCTTTTGTTTTTAATTTATATAAATGATATTAAACAATCTTCAAATGTATTAAATTTTACACTCTTTGCAGATGATACTTCCGTTATTACATCACATAGTAGTGTATATACTTTAGTTGATACTATGAATAATGAATTGATAAAATTGGATAATTGGTTCAAATGTAATAAATTATTTCTCAATTATGATAAAACAAATTATGTAATATTTCATTCTCGAAATCGGAAGATCCCTAGTGATTTATTGCCTATACAAATTGATGTAAATATTATAAAAAGGAAAGAATGTGTTCAGTTTCTTGGTATTATAATTGATGAATTACTTAATTGGAAACCTCATATTGATTGCATTTCGTTGAAATTATCTCGAAGTATTGGAGTTTTGTCAAAGCTAAAGCATGTTTTACCATCAAATATTTTGCTTATGTTGTATAATAGTATGATTTTTCCACATGTAAATTATTGTAATATTATTTGGGGAAATACTTATGCATCATATATAGATAAGATTTATTTGTTACAGAAACGAGCCGTGCGTATTATTACTAAATCTGATTATTTAGCCCCATCACGGCCACTTTTTGTTAAAACACACGTAGTCCCAATTTTTGAATTGATTCAATTTAATATTCGCATATTTATGTTTAAATTTCAAAATCGCCTATTGCCAGAAATTCCTAATATAAACTTTGTTATTAATAGTGATATTCACTCGTATTCTACTCGTCAGAAAAATCATTTACATTTATTTAAAGTTCGTACGACAAATGCACAAAATTCTTTCTATTTAAATGGCATTAAGGAATGGAATAATTTGAGTAATGATATTAAGGAAAGTACAACTCTATCTCGATTTAAAGTACGATGTACACAGTTATTATTTAATGATTTATGTAAACAAGTTTGAGCAGAGGAGGATATTTTGAATGTATGTGTGTATGTATATGTGTGAGCGTGCTTGTGTGTTTGTATCATGTTATTTTAAAGTTTTTAAACTGTATAATTTATGTGTAGTTTGTTTTTTCTTTTTAAGGCCCCACCACAAGCAATTTGCTTCTAAGGGTGTCCTTTACCGTAATATGTTTACTATGTTACTCATTTGTATGTACATGTTTCATTTTATGGTTAAATAAAACTTTACTTACTTTACTTTACTAGATTTCCAACAAAACTCCTCTAAATGTCTACAAATCGTAGGTTAAGGCTTTTCTTTTCCAAGGAAGCATTAAATCCCTTGAAATTTAGATTTTATGAATCGTTTGTCTTACAGATTATCGGTCATTAACACTTTACATATTTGAATGTTCATATAAAAAGCTATTCAATGTAGGCCAGGGTCTTCAAAAATCAAATCGTAGTCAAGACCATATAGTGTGCATCCCTAAAGCTAACCACCTACATGCTTACAGTTTTGAAATACATTGCTATTATTACAAGCAGAAAAAGGAGATGGATTTGTGTGAAATCCTTTAATAGCACAGAACAATTGGAAGAGGTTCTCAAATGATCCATCAGATGTGCCAATTGAAAAGTCTCATTTCAAAACAAAAGGAACTTCATCTGATTGTCCTAAAACTTTCACTGCTCTGTTTCTCTCAATTTCAAGCTTTTTGTTTACCCCCTACTTGATACCAGAGTTGACTTCCCTTTAAAGCCACTCTGTACTAGTTTGGCTAGGAGGGATAAGACCACCCAGGGTAGTCACTGATAGGTGGCTATCTCATCAACTCAGCTCTCAATTAACATATATGTTAGAAAAAGAGGATCATGTGGGACCAATGGTCACCGATTAGGCATTGTTTTCTATATAGAGGGAGCAAGTAGCTACAAGTAGTACAGTGGAGCTTTCATACTGAAGGAGGATTCTAAACTTACGGTCAAAAATAGAATCCAGGTATTTGACCTCGTCCTCAAAGCTCTTGTAGAGGGAGTGCTGCAGGTCGGGTCGCATGAAGTTCTTCCTGGAGTAGAAGATATCCTGAGGGGAGTCAAAATGAGATAGAAGATAGTACAGTGAAACCTGTCTATAAAAAACACCCACGGGAGACAAGAAAAGTGGTCTTTATAGGCAGGTGGTCTTTATGTACAGGTTCCTTTAGTACATGTTTCAATGAGAAACCATTTTCAAGGGAAACAATAGATGTGGGCTCTGTAGACATGTTGTCTTTCTATACAGGTCATCGCTAAAGCATGTTTGACTGTAGTATGAAATAGCTCAGGCTTAGCAGTCAATACAAAAGGAATAACCTACTTCAAGGAGGCTGCTCTACCCTTCATTAAGGGATATGGTAACTTTGTCTCAGATTCTGAAATAAAATTCTGAATTTAGCTCATGATGCAATGATAATTATAAACCTTTAGGTCAGTCAGGAACCCCATGACATTTACAAGCCGATCGCCTGTCTGATTATCAAGATATTTATGATTGAAATTACAAATTTTGAAAACCGTTCGCCTGACGGTTTTCATAACACTAAAGTCTATTGGGGAAAACGAGTATGGTAAAACCGGTCACTCAAAGATTTTTACTTTTTTGAGGCACTTCTTGATCATTTTGAAGTGCAATTTTTTTAGGGCTTCAATATTACACCATATCACAGACACTGATAACAAGTAGGGCCGTGTATCTCAGATCTAACATTGTTAAACGATCCCTTTAGAATGACACAGCCTCTTGTAGGCTCTCACATAGCTGAGTAAGTTTACTGGCATTGGGTTTTTACTTGCCCTGGACTAAGCATATTTTACTGTAGATTGACAAGTGCTTTGTCGACACCCCATTCCTGTACTTCATGGCACTCCGTGCAGTAACTCGCCTCTCCTACTAGTACCATCTCAATATAGCTTCCTGAGTGAGCTGTCAAAGGGATTACTCCATCAAGGATCAAGCATTCTGCACCTAAGCTTACACAGATCTTTGTTTAACATAAACCAACAAGAGTATGGTATCTTCAATGGTAATATCTCATGTCAAAGTTCACTTACAACTACTTTGCAGTTGCAGTACTTCTTAGTATAGAATAGTATGGAACAATTGAAAGAGGTGCTCAAATGATATGTCAGATTTATAGCCGATTTGCGTTTCATTTCAAACAAAACATTTTCTTTTTTATTGAAACAAACAAAGGTATGGTATCTTCAATGGTAATATCTCGTGTCAAAGCTCACTTACAACTACTTTGCAGTTGCAGTACTTCTTAGCCAATGCCAGGAGAGAGTCCAGGCTGGCCAGGACGGTGGTTGTACCGCAGGTCTTCAAGATCAAACGTCTCTTGCTGATGAACAGACTGCTCTCACTGATGGCACAAAAGAAGAACAAAACAATTAAAAGAAGGTGGAAAACACAAGAAAATAATTGCATTTTGAAAGATCCGATAACAAGGGTATCGGTATATCCATAATAGGTACACCGTAGAATGCGCTATATAGATTCAGGGCTGGTTTTTCGGACCCATTATTGGTCTGTAGTCATTCCATAGAAATGTGTGTTAATTATATAACACATGTTTCAATGGGATATCCAAGAAATTCCCTGAATATTATTTGTATTATGATAGTTAGTAAAGAGCACATGAGAGGGGAGCTACATGTAACATGATACCTCACTTTTGTATTTGATTGATCGCAACTTTATAAATCATACATTTTTGCTCTGTACTAAAAAAAAAAATCTGAAATTTGTATTTTCAATCATATATGCACCCTGAATATAATTGTTGCAAATATGTTTATATTCAACCCCTGCATTGTCATGTAGTATTGTCCCAAAACCCAGTTAATTATTAAGTACCCTCATTTTTAAACCCTGACAAGATGCCCAGTTTGAGATGCACTTAAAAGCCAAGTTTATATCTTTATAATCCTTCTCCATAGAAAGACCAAGTTCATTGATAATCCACCTCCCAGGAAAGACTACCTCTATTATGTTTCAGCCCCATACATAAAACTACCAAGTTGTCCATTGTTTTGGCGGCCCTCATTCATGTCTGTGTCCCTTTGACACTACCCTCATATTACCTGTATCCTTCTGTATAAATATTACATGTTCTGGCTTTCTGAAAGGAATTGAGTTTTGATCACCATTAGATCAAGACCCTCTTTCTAGCTGGCTGTCTCTCTTCCTCTTGTGTATGTGGAAGTTCATAATGATGTGACTGATTTGATTTTCTAAAGTTTGGAGATAATAAATACTCTCATGTGACTCCGGAAAAGAAAGAAAAAATTACCTGGTAATTTACCTTTCACCGACCTGTTCCTCTAATGTTACCCCTTCTACTAAAACCATTTTAATATTAGAGAGGTCTTCCCCTTTAACAAATTTAATCCACTATTATATACATTTATAAAATGTAAAATGTCTGACACCTGCCATCATATGAATTACCTGTATCATTTCTTACATGCAGTAGTACACGCATGAATGCTTTATGCATAATGGACCTATACCTGCTGGTATACTTTACTGTATGGAGTATAAAAGCAAAATGACACAAACACCTGTCCCGCAAACAAGTTATTAGAGTAACACATTGCACTCGGGAGGCCTCATTGGGGGTATGTTGTTGTAGGCAAAATGATGAAAATATAATTGAATATAGTCTAAATATGTAATGCTAAAAAACAAAATAGACATATTTTAGACAAAGGTTATTCCTGAGTTAACTTTAGGCTTAATTTTTGAGTTGTGGTTGCTGGTTTTTCATTTTTCTGTTTTTCTTGCTTGTTAACAACATGGGGCAAAGGCATGTTATAATCCTTTTCATGTAAAGCTTATCACAGATAAAAAAGGGAGGAAGGGACAAAGGAATAATGTCCCCCCCCCCCCCCCACAAATAAAAAGCCATCTCATTAAAGATGTTCATGCATGGGTATATAGTCGTTTGTGAAGTAGGCAACTTGGCGAACACTGAGCCAACGGGTATTATGCTCCCGTACGGACGTATGCATGAAGGGACATTAGTATGCACAGGAGCGTAATACCCCATTGGCTCAGTGTGCTGCCCTCTATATACCCTCTCATGAGCAACTTTGTTAGGGCACTCTAATTTCCTATTCCGAGCTCACCTCAAAATATAAGCATGCTGCTCATCCCTCTCCGAAAAGCTGACGATCTCACACTTCACTTTGACGAGCATCTCAGCTATCTCATCTCTGCAAACAATGACACGATTTCAACTATTATTTATTTTCCACAACAATAAAATACAAAATTGCACCTGTAGATGAGTAAAAGAACGGTAAGAGTGTCGTGGTCGAGTGGTTTAAGGCGCTTGGATGGAGATGCGAAGGTCGAGGGTTGGAATCCCGACACGGCACTAATATCCTTTGGCAAGATATTAACCTGCACTTGCTACTCTCCACCCAGGTGTCAAATGGGTACCCGGTAGGATGCGGCCGTCATTGTTGGTCAAACAGCTTGTGAGCGTCAAGTAACGCCCGGCTGGAATGCTCCCCAGGGAGTGGAGATTGTGCACACATTGTGTGCGGGCAAGCACTGAATCCACTGCCCGGGTAATAGTATATTTGTAAAGCGCTTAGAGACATTTGTATTAAGCGCTATATAAAAATTAGATATTATTATTAGGATGAAAAACTGCTAGAATTACATAATAATAAAAATAATAACAATATTTATGAAGCGCAACATATCTCTAGAGATGCTCAAGGCGCATACAAATAATTTAAATTAATATTCAACATACGATTAAAGAACAATCAAAATACAAAGTCATTAAAGGGAAAGTCCACCCCCAAAATAAGTTTGTTTCGATAGAGGCAGAATAATAAGAAAATCAGGTGAGTGAAAGTTTGAGCAAATTCTGAATGAAAATAAGAAAGTTATGAATTATTGAAGTTGTGATCTATCAAATACAAATTGGCAACTCTGTGACTTATTATACGAGCTCTCCTTCATTTGCTTTGTGCATAATATTCCATAAAATCATGTTTTCTTCGTTATTGATGACGGAATATATATTTGTTCCTTGCAGGGGGAGTATAGAAACATATTTGCAATTATTATATTTAGGGTGCATGTATGGTTGAAATTTTTCTTGAGGGAAAATGAAAATTTTAGATTTTTTTAGTACTGAGCAAATGGAAGTTGAGCTCGCATGATACGTCATAGACTTGCCAATTTGTGTTTGATTGATCACAACTTCAAAAATCCTAACTTCCTTATTTTTAATCGGAATTTGCTCAAACTTTCACTGACTTGTTTCTCTCATTTTTCTACTCCTATTAAAACTAACTTAATTTCAGGGTGGACTTTCCTTTAATAGGTGATAATAATATTACTACTAATGATGATGATGATAATGATGAAAGTACTCACAATACCAATTTATTTCTCTATTTTGCACACATATCACCTCCCCCCCCCCCCCCAGGAACAAACGGAGTTAAGTCTTTTGCCAATTCTGCTAGTTGCTACGGCAGGCAGCCAGTGAAAATGAATTTGTTTGATAAAATTATGGAAATGCAAGTACTACTTCAAACAAACAGAACTTTGTCATTCCTTGTTCATTTTTCCTGATTGAGGTGTCATATGAAAGGGCAGAGACTCAACTTTCTAGAAATGTGATTTTCTCTTTGAAATTCAGATACCGTCCGCCAAATGATTTTTTTTGTTTCCTCTCTTCAAATTCATTTTAATCACTCATGCGTGAAGTATGCATCATATAAATGGCATCAAATGAAAGAGGAGGGTCTAAGCTTTCCAAACATGTGTCATTTATTAATTATAAATGTGAATAAGTTATGATAAAACATCGATAATTCTCGGTTTCGTTTTTTCTGGGACGCACTGTATTATTACAATTTAATTACATTTTGGGTGAATTTAAATTGTCACAAAGCAATAAGTTGACATTAAGTGTTGAAAGATTTTGAATAGCCTGTTTTATTTTGGCTGAATTTAAATTGTCACAAAGCAATAAGTTTACATTAAGTGTTGAAAGATTTTGAATAGCCTGTTTTATGTCTTTTTTTTTCTTGGAAGAACGGTTGGGGAAATTCAAAAATGGTTGGGAGAATTTACTGTTAATCACTGTTAGAGGGTGTTGCACAGTGACGCCTTCAAAGAAAACCATAGATATCTTTGTGGTTTGAGCATTTTCTTTGATTATGAATAGCAGTCCTTAGGAATAATGACCCTTTTGATTAATGACCCTTTTATCAACTCATGAATAGCAGTCTTTATAAATAGGGGCAGAACCCGATCTGTTATACACAAAAGAGGCTACATGATGTATGTAAAGCAAATCGTTTTCCCTCTTTCTATCCTTACCTTGGTATGACCCTCAGGTCACACATCTTCTGTCTTTTAGTCTCTCCATTTTCTAGGGTGATAGGTTCAAACCATAGCTCCAGGAGCTTCTCTGTGCCCTCGTAGTGTGTCAGCTTACCGCCCTCATTGTTGACCTTACCACTGCCCTGATCCATGATTGCATGATAAATGGAGCCACCAGCCTTTAGTGGGTTAGACTGCTACCTGCAAATACATAGAAGTAAACAAAAGGTAAGGTTTGGTGGGTTCTGCTACCTGCAAATGTATAGAAGTAAAAAAAAAAAAAAAAAAAAAAAAAAAAAAAAAAAGGTTTAGCACAGTAGCACTAAATTCATGAACTATGGGGCTTCCTAAGTTCAGGCACATTTAACAACAACAAATCACGAATGTGATATTGCTCCATGAATCCTCATATTGCTCCATGAATCCTCATATTCTACAAAAATTATTATTATTATTATTATTATTATCCTTGCTTATATAGCGCCTAACACTTACTTTATCAGAAGTCTCTAAGCGCTCTACAATAATGCAGCATAATTACCCTGGCTTTAGCAGTGCAGCTGTTATGCGCGCTGCGTTTCAAGGAAGAAATTCCTACCACATAGACAGCTACAATGTACATTAATGGGTGCAACTGGTTAATTATCATCAGAAGAATTCTGGTGATATCACTATCTCAAATTTCGATGTTGCGGATCGGGATACGCTCAACCGAAGGAAAACTAACATCAACTGATAGATGATATGTCAAGAATCCATAAAAATAATTCACAATATTTCACAAATTAGATGTAGGTACACAAAATCAGTCAAATTTACTGTTTTAGAATACTTTTTTTACAAGCCACAGCTGCTAAAACTCAAATTAACACTGAAGTGACCGAACAGGTCAAAATCTTCCAGAGAAATGATGGGCTTTCTTAATGATTAAGACCAGTTATGGTCATGCGTTGGCATTGTGAAAGAAATGTTGTGGAATCGATCAGAAAAGGTTGATCATCTAATATATATTAAAGTATTGTTGTGTACTGCAAGGTTCTGAAATCATCAAAATGATAAGAAATTTGGCCCAGTCTTGGTAAAGTTACAAGCACTGTACACAGAAAGATGTATATGGGACTACGCCACACATGCACAACACGTGCGTTATATCTATCAGGTCCAAAAAGATACAATACTTTACCAAATATATCAATCAGTAGGCGGTTTCTCGGTAAAATTTGTATCATTACGTATAAGTCAACACATACGGTATTCGTTCACATGATTGGTAATAAAAGCTTCCATTTCATTTTTTGAGAGGGGGGCATTTCCAAAAATCTTTAAATGATGCTTGAACGATCTTGGTATCAACATATGGGGAATGAGGTAAATAACACCATGATGTCATTTCTCAACTGCATTGTCTGTGGGACGGGCTTTCAGTGAATTGGAGAGAAAGAACTCAATAATGATCCGATAACATAACAATAGCAAATCTTTGTTGGCTGCTACGGTACGATCGGACAGCTGAAGCACAGCTCACATGCATGCAATATCTAGTTCTAGATGATCTCTTTCACTAAGCTGTATAAGCCTGTACACTGAATATAAGGCTACCCTACAGGCCACACTGGGCCGCAACATTTTTAAACCTAACCTAGCCATCCTAACGATACTTATTAATATTTGAATATATGAATATTTGTGTTGGGTACGATGTGGTGGAGATCTAACCAGTGGCAGTATGTAATGCCCGCAACAATGGTCATGATCAAGTTATGACCTACATGTAGTAGGGTGTCTGATCGCGCACCCAATGTTGTGTGCTAAAACCCTTCCCATAGAGATTGTACGCTTCCCTATGTGGTCTACGTGCATTGCGCGACCATCCCAAATTGGTCAATGATTTTATGAAAAAATTTGAAATTCAAACCTTTATAACAAATGATCCTGAAGGTGAAACTCAATAAATGAGGTGTCATATGAAAGAGCAGGTTTTTCTCCATATTCCCCATCGGGGGCCACCCCCAGAATTCTAAAAATATCTTGGTCAAAACAGCGATTGAAATGTTGTTTGCATCCTAGCTCCAAAATTTGCCACTTTCCTGAGCTGCTGCCCCGCGGCTTAAGCAGGGCTAGACGTAAGGATAATATCCAGATGCTTTTTTTTTCGCTAGCCCCAAGGGATCATTTGTTATAACAGTTTGAAAATACCCTTCCCACATTTTTGGAATCAGCTAATTAGGGAGGCGTGAGCTCCGCTCAGTCCAAACCATGGTTACATCGCGTAACATGTGCGCTTATAGTGAATGAAAGTGTGGGTGGCCGTTCCCGCCATAGAACCCGGAAGTGAATACACGTTGTAGTCAATGGCAATATCGCGGAGACAGTCTCCGCGATATTGCCATTGACTACAACGTGTATTCACTTCCGGGTTCTATGGCGGGAACGGCCACCCATACTAGTCAACGGCACATATCGCGGAGACAGCGTGGCTCAAGCTTGCAAGTTGCGCATTGGCTGAGCAACTTGCGTACGATATGCATACGCTTGCATATCGCGCGATACAGCTGTTTGGCTAAATTTAGCAAAACAACATAACTCTGCGTGTACGTCTTTTTCGTCGATTCTGAGCAAAATGCTATGAATATTTCAGCGTTTTGAAGGGGCTGTATCTTTTGATAGAAACATCGGCGAGACTTGAAATTCAAAATGTATTATTCTGATTACATTTTTAATTCAAATATCAAACAAAAATGGTGAAAAACGATCCCAAATTGAAAATTGAAAAATCGTTCAGACACCCTACATGTAGTAGGGTGTCTGATCGCGCACCCGATGTTGTGTGCTAAAATACCTCCCATAGAGATTGCACGCATCCCTATGCAGTCTACGTGCATTGCGCGACCATGAAAATTGGTCAATGATTTTATGAAAAAAATTGAAATTCAAACCTTTGGGGCTTGTGATCCTGAAGGTAAAACTCAATAAATGAGGTGTCATATGAAAGAGCAGGTTTTTCTCCATATTCCCCAAAGGGGCGCACCCCCGAAATTCTAAAAATATCTTGGTCAAAACAGCGATTTAAATGTTGTTTGCATCCTAGCTCCAAAATTTGCCACTTTCCTGAGCTGCGCCCCCCGGGCTTATGTCCGGCTAGACGTAAGGAAAATATGTATGCACTTATTTTTTCGCTAGCCCCAAGAGATCACTCGCCCCAACAGTTTAAAAATACCCTTCCCACATTTTTGGAATCAGCTAATTAGGGAGGCGTGAGCAGGCGCGGATCCAGGGGGGGGGCCGAGCGGGCCTTGGCCCCCCCCCCCCGCAAAAAAAAAAAAAAAAAAAGAGAGAAGAAGGAAAAGAAGGGAGAAAGGGAAAAAGGAGAAAAAGGGAAAGAAAGAAGAGGAAGAAGAAAAGTAAAGGGGGAAGAAGGAGATCGGGGGGGGGGCCGAAAGGGCCTTGCCTCCCAGGCTGTTAACCCCCCCCCCCCCCCCCCCAATCAAAAAAAAAATAAGAGAGAAGGAAGGAAAGGAAAAGAAAAAAAGGAAAAGAGGAGATATTGGCGTACTGATAGAGGGGGGGGGGGGGGCTTGGGGGAAATCAAATTCAAACGTGGTTTATTTCTGATTCCACAACGGTGTATTACAAATAATGCTGAAATGACATAATTTCCGAAATTTTTCCTCATTTTTTAGTAAATTATACGTTTGTATGTGTTTGTTGGAAAATAAAAAAATTCCTAAATTTACAACCAGGCAAAAAATATGATTCTTGAGATTCCTACATGTCAGGGCCCGAGGTACGGCGGGGATCGAGAGCCTCGAGGCATCAAAATATGCTCATCTGACCGTGATTAAATGCCTAAAACCCCTAAGCTTCCGGGGGCTTTGCCCCCTGGATTCCATCTAGGGCCCTACGGCGGGCCCTTAGATGATCATCTGACGGTAATTTAATGCCTAAAACCCCTGATTTTTTGGGGCTCCGCCCCCTGGACCCCACGCCAAATAGTGACTTGCCAGTGTCACAAAATAATAAGGTATACACAAAAATATGGCCACCTGACCTTAATTAAACGCCTAAAACCCCTGAGCTTCCGGGGCCGGCTCCGCCGCCTCGACCCCACCTCTTTGAAATTCAGACAAGGATTAAAGAGTATAGAGAACGGTACAACGCATCGTTTTCTTTCTCTAATAATAAAACGTCAAAGCCTCGCGCAGGAGGGGAGGAGGGGGGGGGGGGACTGAATTGAGACGAGGATTCAGAGGCGAGAACGGTAATACGAATCTTTAATTATTTGATGAAACGTAAAAGCTTATGCGCTTCGCGCGGGATGGAGGGGGAACTAAATTCCGATGAGGATTATTTTCGAGAACGGTACAATGAATCGTCTTCTTCTCTAATGATTAAATAAAACGTAAAAGCTTCCGCGCTTCGCACGGGAGGGGGGGGGGGGGGAACTGAATTCAGACGAGGATTAAGAGTCGAGAACTGTACAACAAATCGTCTTCTTTCTCTAATGATTTAATGAAACGTAGAAGCTTCCGCGCTTCGCGCAGGAGGGGGAGGGGGACAAACTGAATTTAGACAAGGATTAAGAGTCGAGAACTGTACAACGAATCGTCTTCTTCTCTAATGATTAAATGAAGATTAAAAGCTTCCGCGCTTCGCGCGGGAGGGGGGGGGGAAACTGAAATCAGACGAGGATAAAGGGTCGAGAACTGTACAACGAATCGTCTTCTTTCTCTAATAATTTAATAAATCGTAAAATTTTCCGCGCTTCGCCCGGGAGGGAAAAACTAAATTCAAACGAGAATTATTTTCAAAAACGGTACAACGAATCGTCTTCTTCCTTCAATAGTTTAATAAATTAAACTTCAAAGCTTCCGCGCTTCGCGCAGGAGGGGAGGGGGGCTGATTTTAGACAAGGATTAAGAGTCTTGAACTGTTCAACGAATCGTCTTCTTTCTCTAATAATTTAATAAATCGTAAAATTTTCCGCGCTTCGCGCGGGAGGAGAAAAAACTAAATTCAGACGAGATTTATTTTCGAGAACGGTACAACGAATCGTCTTCTTTCTCTAATAATAATATAATGAAACGTCAAAGCCTGGGAGGGGAAACTCGCCCCCCGCATTACGTCACTGTTGTTCACCATAATGTACCAATATTTGGCTCGCATAATTTCAAATTTGGGCCACCCCCCCTAAGAAATCCTGGATCCGCGCCTGCCCCCTTGAGCAAAAAAAAAAAATGATTTCGAGTGCAATTACGGTTCCCCGTCATGTGCCCAATCGACAATTGTTTAGGGTATTATTTCGTCATGCAACAAAAATGAGTAAGGGTCTTAGGGATGTAATTTGGTTTTAGGCTGGGTTAGGAGTAGAGGTTCAGGGTTCAGGCGCGGATCCAGGGGGGGCCGAGCGGGCCTTGGCCCCCCCCCCCCCCTCCCCGCAAAAAAAAAAGAGAGAGAGAAGAAAGGAAAAGAAGGGAAAGGGAAAGAGGAGAGAAAGGGAAAGAAAGAAGAAGAAGAAGAAGAAAAGAAAAGGGGGAAGAAGGAAATCGGGGGGGGGGCCGAAAGGGCTTTGCCTCCCAGGCTGTTGACCCCCCCCCCCCCCAATCAAAAAAATAAGAGAGAAGGAAGGAAAGGGAAAGAAAAAAGGAAAAGAGGAGATACTGCCGGACTAATAGGGGGGGGGGGGTCTGGGGAAATCAAATTCAAACGCGGTTTATTTCTAATTCCACAACGGTGGATTACAAATAATGCTGAAATGACATAATTTCCCTGATTTGTCCTCATATTTTAGTAAATTATACGTTTGTATATGTGTTTGTTGGAAAATGACAAATTCCTAAATTTACAGCCAGGCACGAAATATGATTCTTGAGATTCCTAATAGTTAACTGCCAGTGTTAAAAAATGAGGCATAAAAATATGCTCATCTGACCGTGATTAAATGCCTAAAACCCCTAAGCTTCCGGGGGCTATGCCCCCTGGATTCCACCTAGGGCGCTACGGCGGACCCTTAGATGCTCATCTGACGGTAATTTAATGCCTAAAACCCCTCTTTTGGGGGATCCACCCCCTGGACTCCACGCCAAATAGTGACCTGCCAGTGTCACAAAATAATAGGTATTAAGAAAATAATGATCATCTGACCTTAATTAAACGCCTAAAACCCCTGAGCTTCCGGGGCCGGACAAGTTATCAAAATTGTGTTTATATGACCGCAGGCGCGTAGCCAGGGGAGGGGGGGGGGGCGGTCCCCCCCCCAAATCGGAAGAGGACGTAGGAAGTAAAAGGAGCAGACAAATAACATCTTTGAAATTCAGACAAGGATTAAGAGTATAGAGAACGGTACAACGCATCGTCTTCTTTCTCTAATAATTTAATGAAACGTCAAAGCTTCGCGCAGGAGGGGAGGGGGGGGGGACCTGAATTTAGACGAGGATTAAGAGTCGAGAACTCTACAACGAACTGTCTTATTCTCTAATGATTTAATGAAAAGCTTCCGCGCTTCGCCCGGGAGGGGGGGGGGGAAAACTAAATTCAGACGAGGATTAAGAGTCGAGAACGGTACAACGAATCGTCTTCTTTCGTTAATAGTTTAATGAAACGTCAAAGCTTCCGCGCTTCGCACAGGAGGGGGAGGGCGGCTGAATTTAGACAAGGATTAAGAGTCGAGAACTCTATAATGAATCGTCTTCTTTCTCTAATAATTTAATAAAACGTAAAATTTTCCACGCTTCGCGCGGGAGGGGAAAAACTGAATTCAGACGAGGATTATGAGTCGAGAATGGTACAACGAATCGTCTTCTTTCTTTAATAGTTTAAAGGCACACTGCCATACTTGTAGCTACTTGCTCCCTCTATATAGAAAACTTCCCAATCGGTGCCTGTTGGTCCCCCATGATCCTCTTTTTCTTATGTTAAATGAGAGCTGAGTTAATGAGATAGCCACCTGTCACAGTGACCTCGATGGCTCTCTGTGTGGTCTAATACCTTCTGGCCCAGTAGTGGTGACGGTCTTTAATGAAACGTCATAGCTTCCGCGCTTCGCGCAGGAGGGGGGCTGAATTTAGACAAGGATTAAGAGTCGAGAACTCTACAACGAATCGTCTTCTTTCTCTAATTATTTAATAAAACGTAAAATGCTTCGCGCGGGAGGGGCAAAACTAAATTCAGACGAAGATTAAGAGTCGAGAACGGTACAACGAATCGTCTTCTTTCTTTAATAGATTAATGAAACGTCAAAGCTTCCGCGCTTCGCGCAGGAGGGGGGCTGAATGTAGACAAGGATTAAGAGTCGAGAACTCTACAACGAATCGTCTTCTTTCTCTAATAATTGAATAAATCGTAAAATTTTTCGCGCTTCGCGCGGGAGGGGCAAAACTAAATTCAGACGAAGATTTTGAGTCGAGAACGAATCGTCTTCTTTCTCTTATAATTTAATGAAACATCAAAGCTTCTGCGTTTCGTGGAGGAGGGTGGGGAAAACTCGCCCCTCCCTGCACCGACCCCCCCCCCGCATTACGCCACTGTTGGTCACCATTACGTACCAATATTTGACTCGCATAATTTCAAATTTGGGCCCCCCCCCTAAGAAATCCTGGATCCGCGCCTGGGCGTGAGCTCCGCTCAGTCCAAACCATGGTTACATCGCGTAACATGTGCGCTTATAGTGAATGAAAGTATGGATGGCCGTTTCCACCATAAACCCCGGAAGTGAATACACGTTATAGTCAATGGCAATATCGCGGAGACATCTCCGCGATATTGCCATTGACTATAACGTGCATTCACTTCCGGGTTTTTTGTGCGACGAACGCTAACCATACTAATCAATGGCACGTGTCGCGGAGACAGCGTAGCTCAAGCTTGCAAGTCGCGCATTGGCTTAGCAGCATGCGTACGATATGCATACGCTTGCATATCGCGCGATACAGCTGTTTGGCTAAATTTAGCAAAACAACATCACTCTGTGTGGACGTCTTTTTCGTCGATTTTGACCAAAATGATATGAATATACCAGGATTTTGGAGGGGCTGTATCTTTTGATTGAAACATCGGTGAAGCTTCAAATTTGAAATGTATTATTCTGATTACACTTTTTATTCAAATATCAAACAAAAATGGTGAAAAACGATCCCAAATTGAAAATTGAAAAATCGTTCAGACACCCTACATGTAGGTAGTCCTTCATTTACGGTATATAGATTAAGCTTCCCGATTTTTCTCGCAATGTTATTTATTTTGGGTTAGACTATATATTTTAGGGTTATTTATTTTAGGTAAAGATAGCTTTGCACTTGTAATTTTGATTTTGGATGAAATCTCATCATTTGATAACTTATCGCATCAGATTCTGTGTGCGTGCGTATCATATGACTAGCACATCAGCCATGACGTATAGTCTAGTCTATACTCTATAGTACAGTGTAGATCTAGGTTCCTATTCATTGAGCCGATCAAATGCAGCGGTAGGATGGCTAGCTTAGCTAGTCAGAAGTCAGAAGTCAAAACAAGGTAAAGGCTATAGATCTAGGCCTAAAGCATGTTGTAGGTTTTCACACTCCAGCAAAGCAAAGAGACTCAATGTTAATGCCAATTGACCTCTAGCACTGCACTACGTGTTAACAGGCAGCATTTGAATACATGAATAGTCAATACACCCATAACACACAGATGGAAACAATCATGCCGATGCGGCTGATCGGGAAGTTTGACAGTGGACTCATTATTTGAATTTTGTTAATTATTCTTTCTAACATCAGAAAGTTGAAAAAATTGTATTTCACTGCTATTTAAGTGTCATCAATCGTCACTAAAGTACCGATTTTGAGTGAAATCAGTTGAGTTTTTTTACAGTGGTGTTTGAAATGTTGAGAATCAATAGCACAGTTTTTAATACACAGCCCGGATAGTAATGCACCTATGTGTGGGTTTTCATGCATTTGACTGCCGATATCGGAAGACTTCTAAATTCTGAGTTTGCCCAGACTGATATCACTGCCCACGTTACATTAACGTGGGATTTCAATGAGCGAAGGTATAATTCACAACCACGCCGCGCCGCGTATTCGTATACTAATGATCATCATTAAAAAAAAATGATGATTTTAGAGAAAATTGGCGAATTAAGAACTCACCTAAATGAACAACATGAACTGGATCCCGTATGTTTGCGTAGCGTGTGGTACCTGTCTCGCTATTCGTGCACGGCCACACGAGGGCGCTTTACACATTATCTTTCAAAGAGATTCGATCATACCATAGAGATATATAGTAGTTATATATCTCTATGGATCATACACGTATGTTGGAGTAGACATTATCAAGCAAATAGATTCGATCAATCTGGATTATAGAAAATAGGCAAGAAGAAAAGGAATTAGCGGGGGAAAGGGGCACTTTAACACTTCACTTCAGAAAATGGGACAACTTCCACAGTTTAGGACGGCGAGGCAAATACTTCTTTCTCAGACTCACTATTTTTTTATATCATTTGGTCATAAGGAAAAGGAAGAGACAGGATTTCCAACAAATGTGTAAATGTGAAGGGAGTGGGGTTTTGTTGAGCTTTGGAATGAAGGGGGGAGGGGGATATGTAGGTTTGTATGTGTGTCTGAGTATATGAGCGTGTGTGGTGTGTCTGTCTGTCTGTCTGTCTGTGCGTAAGGATTTGATTTATAATATTCATTCAGTATAATTAATTTGAAATCATGTATTTTTCGAAGGATGTACAATTTTCTTTATATTTTGATATGTTATGTAAATCAATGAAGCTGTATGTGTTTTTTTTTAAATATTTTGTACTGAATGAATACAATACAAAAATGCTAGAAGAAAAAAAAAATATCCGAGCTAAGCTCAAGCCAGATGCAAATAAATGTAAACTTAAAGACAAAAAAAAAATATGCCTCTGAACCGGTTCATGTAGTGTAATTATGATTGTAATGACAAAAATGTTTTTTTTTTTTAATACTAGGCCTACTGCTACTACTAATAATAGGCCTAATAATAATAATAATAATAATACTGATAATAGGTTTAGTTGTAATATTAGAAGTACAGTATATAGCAAAAAGAATATTATTATTATTTGTATTTTTAGTGGTAATAGTCCCAGGGCGTATTGAGGGAAGGGGGTGTTTTAGGTGCTCAAACAACCCCTTGGCAAAAGGGGGTGTTTTAGAATTGTATCTATGCCCCCCTCCCCTCTGGCAAAATAAATAATAGAATAAGTATATATATATATATATATATATATATTTGAGCCAAAATGTAATTACCCCCCCCCCCCCCCCCTCATTCACCGGCTGGTTTCTCCGTTAAATATTTTCTCACGAGTTGGGAAGAAGAAAAAGACGAAGAAGACGAAGAGGAAGAGACAGGAAAGGAAAGAGCTCTGGTTTTCTGTTGGCACAATAATGATAATACAAATATGTTTACTACGAATGGTTGAGTTTCATCGTGAATGATGTTGAATTGTACTAGAAAAATATTGTTTCCATGAATCAGTTGTCGGGATGTCGAGTTACACAAACTTTCGTGAAAGCATGCATATACCCCCTCATAAACTAGCTGAATGCCTGTGTGATAGGGATAATTGTCCATGTGTCCGGTGCCAATTATCCCTGGATTTTTCTAGGGATATCTGCCCAACTGACGTCACTGCCAATTATCCCTGGCCAGTCAATAATTATCCCTGACATCGGATAGATTGAATACAAAAATTACAAATAATCACATTTTGGGTCCTTGATGTTGTATTTTGCTATAGGAAATACATGGCATCAATGAAGCTACTGAGGGCGCACATCCATTCCATAAATAAGCGAGATAAGGTCTGTATACAGAAGGCAAAACAGCTAGTTCTCATTTTTACCGGGATGGATGACGCTTGCTCTTACCTTAAAATCAAATTCGCATTGAAATCTAGATGAGATTAAAACAAATAAAAAAGCTGGATATCTCGAACTCGGGAGTGAGGTTATTTTGATATGCTCCTAGTAATCCCGAACGGCTCGATGTACCATGGGTACCATGGGTGCTTTGTTTGTTTATTTTGTTGTTTGTTCGTTTGTTTGTATTGATTTTTTCCTGTTTGAAGGTTTGTTTTGCTTTCATTTTTGGTTCTGGTTTTTGGTTTTGTTTGTGTTTCTATAGTTTTGATAGCTTTTTCCAACATTTCTAGCTTTTCATTGTTATTTCTTTTATATATCTTTTAACGTCAATCGTGATGATGTATTCTTTTTGCTTTTAATTGCTCCTATTTTCTTAAATCCCAAAGGTTTATAATTGACAGAGAAAAGATACCATAGTGATCATTATGACAGTCAGTCTCAGGTAGGCCTCCTCTGTACCCCCCCCCCCTCTCTCTCTCTCTCTCTCTTTCTCTCTCTTTCTCCCATTGATGAGGCCCATAGTTCCTGGAGGTAATCGTCTTTATATAGACCATTTTCCAATAACAGTTGATTTACCCTCGAGCTATAGTTTACTGGGATAAACATTTGTTAGTCGTATCAGTCGTTGTGCGTAACAGTGTCTGTTCTAGTAGACTATATGATATTATCTGTACTATTGAGCATGGACCTACTAGTTTAGAGCCGCTTGTTATTTAACATAGGCAGAGATTGACATAATTATATCTAGACTACACTGTTAAAAAAAACAGTAGATTTTACAGAGAAAAAAATACAGAACCATTCTTTAAAGTGTTGTAACAGCAAATTTTCTGTAATTTAACAGGACAAATGTCTAGAAAAAATGAAGATTTTGTTTTTTTACAGGCAATTTGCGTGATTTCAGATCCCATATACAGATTTTTTACAATTCTACGGAATGTTCTTTTTTTATTAAGAAAACTTCATTTTTTAACGGATAATAAAAAAGAAATTACAGAAAACAAAAATACAGAACCATTCTGTAAATTGATGTAACTGGAATTTTCTGCAATTTAACAGGACAGATTTCTATAAGAAGGGGAGATGTTTTTTTTTAATAGGAATTCTGTATGCTTTCAGATCCAATATGCAGATTTATTATGATTCTACAGAGCGTTTTTTTTTTTCAAAGTAAACCTCATGTTTTAATGAATAAAAAGAAAGAATCTACAGAAATTAAAATACAGATTCATTCTGTAAAAATGTAAACTAGAAACTTTCTGCAATTTAACAGATCTCTAAAAAGAAGATCCCATGTAAATAAATGGAGTGTCTTTTTATTCAAAGTAAACCTCATGTTTTAATGAATAAAAAAAATACAGGAAACAATAATACAGAACCACTCTGATAATTAATGTTACTTGACATTTTCTGCTGTGAAAAGGACGGATCTCTCTCCCTCTCTAAAAAAAGGATTGTTTTTTTCTTTATGGAAATTCGTAGGCCTATGTTTTTAAGCAGATTTTGCTTTTAATTCTACAAAGTGTCGATTTATTCAAAGCAATCTCATTTAGTTTAATGAATAAAAAAGACAGAATTTATAGAGGAAAATACCGTAAACAATTCTGTAAAATTAATAGCTGAATTTCACTGCAATTTGACAGAAATCTAAAAAAGAAGTTGATGAGGGTTTTTTTTCAAGGACATTCAGATCCCCTATAGATATTTAATGTTCTACAAAATACCCTTTTCAATTTAAAAAAAAAAAGACCTTAACTGCCTTTTAATGCCTTAAACTCAACAACGTAAAATAATTTGCGGTAAAAATACAAAACCTTTCTGTTAATTGACTCAAGCTGCCGAATTCGGGCACATTTAAAAGGGAAAGAAGATTTCGTTTTTACCGGAAATTAGTCTGCTTTTATCAGAGGTTATGCTTTATATAGGCCTAAATTTTAGTAGGCTAGGCATAATTATATATATACTTCAAAGTTCATGTAGACCTCTCAGATATCTTTTTTTTTTATGCCATAAAAACAACACGAACTCCCACGAACTGCAACTGTAACTATACCGGTACCGTAATTTTTCTGCATCTTCTTAATCTTCTTCTTTTTCTTCTTTTCTATTCTTTTTTTCTTTTTTCTAACAGGAAGTTTTAATAGTGCTTTCATATCTTATTCAGATTTCTGTTTTTTTATTTTATTTTTTCTTTCTTTTCTTTTTTCTTGCCGCCAACTTTTTTGTTACCGTTAGCGATAGCGTGTAACATGCATGCGTGCACTTCGTTCGCGCCCATATATGCATGCATGGCGATCGATCAGATCAGAACGAACCGGCCGGGCGCGCCGGGCCAGCGCCAGCTATAGCTTGCTAGCTGCTTGCACTCGCACGCGCGCGCCATGCATTAATTGTGCATGTTTACCATGATGTGTACGTACGTACATGTACAGTGCAGCATAGAAGTTATCTAGTTAGCACTATGAACATGACAGACAATGAAAGCGGACAAAATATACAGTTCCTCAGGAAAACAAAGGAACATCCCTTCACTGCTATTATGTAAAAATGTGTAGAACAGGTGAATATGCATGTGACACCTGTTCTACACATTTTTACATAATAGCAGTGAAGGGCTGTCCCTTTGTCTACCTGAGGAACTGTATATTTTGTCCGCTTTCATTGTCTGTCATGTTCATAGTGTAGTCTGATCTATGTACATAATGCATGCAGTACATACCTGCGAAGTTCGTTCGTGAGCTGAGCCTGGGCCTGCCTGTGATTTGAATTGGATTGGGTAAGTCGATTGTCAATTAAAGTCTCTTTTTCGTTAGGTATTATAACAAGAATTTCAATGTAGTGTTTATAGTATTAAGAATTGAGTTTGTTGGTGATCACCACGATGAGATTTAAGTCGGATAGAACTCGAGAATTTATGCTTAAACTCTAGTAAAGTAAGCTAGACCGATTAAATCTGTCTCTGTTTGGGGTAGACCGAAGGCTCCGGCCGTGTGTGTCGCTCTCAGTCATTAACATACGGACATTCTCTTTTTACCCTCTGAGTGGAGAGAGGGTAAAAAGAGAATGTCCGTATGTTAATGACTGAGAGCGACACACACGGCCGGAGCCTTTGGTCTATGTTTGGGGGACCTAGTATTTACAGTACGGTCATTAACGGGGAGGGCCGCCCGATTAATGACCGTACTGTAAATACTAGGCCCCCCAAAACAGAGACAGATTTAATCGGTCTAAAACTCTAGTAGAATCTAGTAGACTCTAGACTAGACTAGAGTCTAGTCTAGGACTAGGTCTATTTAATGATCTACAAGATCGAAAATCGAAAACTACTGAATACAG